GGAATTTACACGTTGAACTTACGTACGCACGACGCCCACGGGTGATTTTCAACTGCGATATCTCGTATGCGAATTTACGTGCGCGCGGTTCGGTCCATCCGCTCGTGGAGCTTGTTTTAAAGTCGGAGGGAGGGCACGCGCGATGGATATTGGCGAAAAAAAATGCCCCGGAGTGAATAAACGTATAGGTAATGCGAATCAAAGGTGTTTATATAGATTTCGGCGCGGGCAGTCGGAAAAACAGTACACATATAGTCAATTTTGGACTTTGTGCGCGGGTTTTCTACATTTCGGGTCCGATATTTTTTTAATTCCCGGAACGGATTATTCGCGTGACGGACGGTGAACTGGCAGCGTTTTAAAAAAAGACGTGTTTTTTTCCTCTGTTAAATATATATTTTTTTTTTTTTTTAGGTGTCTACCTTTTTTGTTAAAAACAAATAAAAGGTCGAGTTTTAGAAGAAGGTATGCAGAATTCAACACGGCGGACGCTACTCGCAAAGTAACAGTTATTATTATTATTTCCCTGCTGTAGAAAATTATTTTTTCATGTCAAGGATTTCAGTCTTCTATTTATAGTATTTGAATAAACGAAATTTGCATCAAGATCACACATTTTTCATTTATTCAAATTTATGAATCCGCGCGAATCGAGAGATTTTATAATATTTCATAAACATTTATCAATATTAAACATTCAACTTTCACTATCAAATTTAAATTTCAAATATCATCTTCATGCTATTAAAATAGTTTTAAATTCTGTTTTTACTATATGTGTTTTTCTCCTTGTCTGTTTGCGACATTTTTTACCAGAAATATTATTGTTTTGATATGCAGAGGTAGCGTTTTTTCGTGACAATGTTGAGAATGTTGTCTGGCTGATTGGTAGGTAGATCGTATTTTCTTCGTCACTTTCGTATTAATAAAACAAAAACCGGAAAATTTACAAAAATAATCGTGGAGACCTGCAATAATCACAGAACATCTAAATTATTCTTTTATAAACTTGGTAATATTTTCGAATTATTCCGACATGTTTTGAACTGTTTATAGGCATTTTACATTCCCTCGTTTTTAATTTTCTATTGGTGTTCAATAGCGGCCTGATCAATTGTTTCGGCCTAACAGAAATGCTTGTACATTTAACACAAGGTACGTTTCAAGCTGCACTGAGTGATAAAAAAAAAAAAAAAACTAAAATTAAATTGTTTTTTTTTTTTACGGAAATCTGTAGTGTTTCTTGTGAGTATCTATTTTCTAAACGAAAAACGTTACGTTTCAACACGATAATCCGATTTAAATCAATAAAAACGTAATTTTTTTTTTTTCAAACATACAGACATTTAATTTAATAATATATCTACAATAATGAAAAATAATAAACGCGTACAAATAACACCGACGAACGAACTTTATGTAGTTTCGAGTTTGAAAATTAAAATACTATAATACATTATGCTACGGACAGCAACAAACACAATCTGACAACAAATCGCGGATCGCTTAATAAAAACGATTTTCAACATAATTATATTATACGCGTATTATCATTCGCTGTCAGTGGGAATATTGAATAGTATACCGTATACGATTACATTATTTATTTTTATCGAGTATTTTGTCGACCAAGAAAAAAAAAAAAAAAACGTTACGAAAAACTTCCATCACGCATACTGTATACACATTATAATAATATTCTTTAAACAACGACTGACACGCACACGATCGGAAATAAACGGTTGAATTATTGTTATAACAACGCTGTACACTATTGCCGTGCAGCGCTCATTATCGTTACGGATCGTTGCGATTCAATGCATATCACCCCATCGCGCCTCATCGATTATTATTAAGCTGTTTACCTGTAGTATAAACGACATTAATAAACATCAGATTATATAGCGGTTATCGTTTCGGACGATATTGTGGGACTTAAAAAAAAAAAAAAAAAATATATATATAAACCGTTATCAACGCTACAACAACGCATAAATACCTGTAAATACCGATCTCCGTAACTGCGAATCGGGTGTGAGTCTGGCGCTGATTACGAGCTGCGCGGTCACACGGCGATATCGTTAAACGTGATAGTTGCTTTAGAGCGCGAGAGTAACACCGCTATCGCGGCAATTCGCTGTCACTATCGTTATGCGTTCACACCTTTTTTCTAGCACTTTTCTAACACCTTGATAGCATGCGTGGTAACTAGAGACCGGATTTATATTCTTTTATAAACCACAAAAAGGCGCTTAAAAACACCAAGAACGCCCACCAAAAAAGCACTGTGAAACATTTAAAAAAGCAAAAATGATAGTGGGATTTTAAAGTCCTTCTCTGACGGCTCTAAGTTATTAAATAAAATTCCCTGCCACTACGAAAATGATTAACATAAAAAGATTTAAATAAAATCGTATGTATCATAAAAAATGTACATTGCGGTGTCAAAAAAATTTGTTTATAAATTAAATCCATTAGCGGGGGGCCTATTAATCCTCTTTATTATTTTTACGTTTTTATATATTCGACAAGTGTTTTTTTTTTTTAAAGCATTTTGATGTTTTCAAATTGCTTGTCTGTGGATTTTAAGAATATATAAATCCGGTCTTTAGTGATAACTTTAGTATGGAACTGATGATACGTTATAAGTATTGTTATTATAATAGAAACGTATAGGTAATCTAAATGGGGGATGGTAAACTCCTACAAAAGTACATAATCTCCTACATTGAAATACTGTTAACTCTTACACAGATTATGTTAAATCCTAACAAATATAGTGTTAACTCCTACACTACCTAGATAGTTGTTAAGTTGTAAAAAGTAAAATAAGGCATTTTAAAATAAATAAAAATCAATCATAAACTACAAAAATCAGAGGTAGCGATTGTTGTATTTTCAATTTACGGAAACAACGTATACGTAATCGAAATGTTCGAGAATTCCCGATACGATACCTTATATTAATATGTATACTCAATTTTATTTTACATTTTATCATCTTACATTTCGTAACTCTCTCGAATATTTATCCAAAATGCAACAAAAAATGTTTCTTATCATTTTTCCATTAGAGATCTGTTTCTGGTATAAAACGTCGCGCGTGTTTATTTAAAATAATGAAATCTTAAAATCGTACGGTTTCCCCCACCGAAGTACAATTATCATTAATAAACATCATTAGAAAACCAATATACATTCCTTGCTGCAATCAGAATCTAAAACGTAAAAAGGTTTGTGTAGAAGATTACACCGTCCATTTTTTGCAGGTTCTGCAGGGACTATATAGTTCACACCATGTTTTAAATATAGGCGAAAGGTCATTTTTGTAGGAGTTTACATGTACCAAGCAATCAAAGTATACTGATTTAAAAAAAAAAAAATTTAAAAAAACCCCTTGTTTATAGTAAATGCAGTTTTTATTTTTACCGATTACAATATTGTTTTCCCGTAACGTTTCGTAATATTATTTTGTCGAAAAACAAAAATGACTAATACACTGCACAAACCAATACGAGGAGTGCGGCGGCGTTTTAACTTCCAAAACAGCTCCACTTGGACGGGCCATTAGACCGTTCGATTACATCCGTCGTGGTCTGTACTTCGAAACTTCTCGCCGGGATGCACCGGTCCTCACCATTGCCATCGCGACCCGAATCGAAAACACCCGTCATATCGGACGGGCGGACGAACTGATGGCGCGCCACAGCTGCCATCTGGCGCACCGCGATAATATATACGAAGAATGAAAAAAATGAGAAATAATAAAATATAGACAGATCATTCGAATGGGCCCGATATCCTAATAATACGTATATATCCTACGTACACAGTGACGTTTTTATAGGCCGATTGATTGATCGTCGCACCGTATAAACGACCGGGGGACGGGGGCGTCACAAAGGGCTTTAAACAATACCTTTATAACAGCATGACTATAACATATTACGACCCTGTGTATGTAATATCGTAGGTGTGTTTTAGTACGCATATTACACGCAGCGATAACGACGAGTGCGCGTATTATCGTTTTCGAGGGCAAATTAACGCGGTAATTACGGGAAAAAAGGGGTCGTTATTGGAAATTATAGCAACGTTTACGAAAACGGAAAACAAATGCATGAACGGTCGCAGGGTATAATTCTGTTGTACATACAGTGCGCACAGTGCTGCGGCGGCGCCAACGAAGATAATATATTATCAGGTAGTGCCATGCAGTTGTCAGAAAATGATGATAAAGGATATGTACCGACACTATGGGCGCGATAGGCTTGTCGAGGGATTCAATATGAAATATATTTTCCGAGCAGTACTGTGTGTATATTGTTTTAGCAGAATGGAATTCGAAATTCTAACAAGTTTTGAACAATGTCATATGAGTTTATTTGAAAATTGTCGGAAGTTTTTTGGACGGTTTTGGTATACACGTAATGTTGGGTGTGAAGGTAACATTTCAAAATAAAATATGGAATAATAAAAAAAGGGGACTCCGAAAAATTCTAACAAGTTTCCAACAATGCCTGACAAGTCTGTCTAAATATTTTTGGATGGGTTTTGGAAAGGTCTGCTCACAATGGTATGACAACTTTACACCCCTAAAATGTGTACCTATTCTGAAAAAACTTTTGCAACACGTATATACCTGAAACCGTTGCGGTTGGAACGATACTAGTATTATCGAACACCATTTTTGTGTACACTTGATTAAATATATTATAATGATTTAAGAGCGCCTATGCTTTTTACTGTTTCATAACGAAAAGAATATCAGGAACGTAGAAAATATATTTAATTATCACTCGACAAAGCCTGTTTTTTATGCTCCTAAATCATTAGAATATATTTAATCAATTGTTCAAACAAGTGTTGTTCGATAATGTTAGTATCGTCCAACTGTAACGGTTACACGACTACAGGAGTTGCAAACATTTCTCTTCAGAATAGATACACATTTTATCTAGTCCCAGCGTACAACGTACGTAGTTGAATGTTTTAAAATTGTTGTTTTATACGTAAGTAGTGCATAATTTTATTCCAGACATTCCAAACAAAGTAAAAATAATGCTAAACAAGTTTCATATACTTTACTTATAGAAATAAGTTTAATTTAACAGTGAACGATTTTCAAACGAATTTTAATCCTCAAGAGACGCAGATATTATTACTCGATATCGATACGATAACATCGGTAAAGTATCTTAAGAATTAATCACTTTTGAAATCGATTTACTTCTAATATTACAGCAGATGATCTACGTGATTCATAAAGGAAACTTAAGAAATGGACTCATTTACAAGGACTATATTTTAACGGTTTGTCAATTGATCCCAAGATGTTTGGATTTTATCTATATTAATTTTTTTTTTTTTTTATTTCAAAAATAGCAGTTATGTTGAACAAAATTCATGTAACTCTTTGTCACACATTACTAACGTATGATATGATAGATATATGCGTGCCCGTATGATACAAAAAAAATAAAACTTATAATGAGAAAATAGACAGAGTTTTGACATTTCTACGATCAATGACACAAAATATAACAAAAATTGGTATGGACTTGTTTGAGGAGGAGAGGAGTAGCAGAATTACGAAGATAATAACGGTAAGAATTTTATGTCAAAAGTTTACGAGCTCATTAGTAATGTAAATTTATTACCATGCACGAGTAAAAATCGCAGTACACTAAAAAAAGGTAATTTTAATCATTTTTCGGTTATTAACGAAAAGAAATTGAAGGTGGCTAAAATAAGTACCGGAGGCAATAAAATTCAAAAATATTTTGAAAACAATATAGATTTACTAAAACTCAATAAAATTTACACAAAAGAACTTCAGAACAAATTCGGTTTATCAAAATATGAAATTCGGTCAAAGGATTTGTCGGCACACGAAGCAAAGTAAGAAATAATATTGTTTTATACACTTAAGAGACTTCAACAATATTTTACAAATACTATATTAAACGAAAAAAGAAACTTTTACAAATAAATCGAAAAAGACCCGGAGGAAACGAACAATCTTACGGGCATTTTACATAATATGTGGCAGAAAATCCCTTTCTTTTTTTACCGAAAATTTCGATAGCGTAGATATGAACGAGTTAAAATCAAAAAATATAACTGTTAGAGACTTAACTATGAGTTTGTCAGTTATTTTAAAAATATCATTGTTCACCATTATTCACCGATAAAGACCCACGGAAAGAACTCCGACCAACTCATCGTATTGACCTTTTTACGTACAGAATAAAAACTATATATTAACTAGGTACGACATCAATGAATTAAGTATCAACGATTTAATAACAGTGGACGACCAAAACGAAATTTTTTCGCAATGGTCGGAGACCGTACTTCTTGACAACGATCATGGATGCAAACTATTCAACACGGTTATAAATACGAATTGCATTAACGCTATTAAATACTAAATGATCACTTTTTTTTTACGAAAAATACCACGTGACGTCTGTGAAAAAAATTTTGTTGTGCGCGTATTACAAAACGTGTCCTAGAGTCGGAATAAACCAGAAAACCGTAAGAGAACAAAATATAATAAAGTTAATTTTTATCACGGCTATTAAATGACGTGGAAATGGCAAAATATTGTAACCAAAACTTTTCAAAACGTATCCAACAGTGGTCAAATATTTTTGTCATATACATTACAAACTTGTCGAAATTTGTTCGAGTTTCTCCCCTCTTTTTAACTATTATACATTTCTACGTTAAACTGTGTGCTGCCAACTCCACACTTATAGCACTACGATTATATTGAAATCACAGTTATCTACTTGGAATATATAGTAAAACGTTTCAATCAAAATGTAATGCCGAGTGTGCTAACATAGTACTCAATTTAACGCGAAATAAACAAATAGGGTGGCCGTGAAAAATTCAAACAAGTTTCCAACGGTGGTCAACAATTCAATTGAAACACTACTGTGAGATTTTTGAATGGCTTTAATAAAATCGTAATAGTGAGCATTAATATTTAGTTGTGTTAAATAGGGGGCTCCAACATTATTCAGTGAGTATATTTGAATACTGGTATTTTTTTGTTTTTGAAAAGTTCGGCTAACAATGCAATGCCAACTTCGTGCCACTCGGTTATTGTCTATTGCACTGCTTCCTCCTATAAATTGGGACACATGCGTGTCTGTCATATGTCTGTTTACTCAATCGTTAGGTTACATAAACGATCTTTATATGGATGAAATTGACAATCATTGACCATTCACTATAACATATTATTATTACAATATATTTTTTATTTGTAATTATTGTAAATATAAAAACAAAATCCCGATAATAAACATGGATAAACAATCACTTTTGTAGGCGGGAATTCGGGAAGGTATAGGATAAACAAGACAATCGAAATGGTAAGCCTATAGTTTGAAATGATAAATCATTGTTAACGAAAACTGATTTTGATTTTAAGAAGAAAAACGTTATCAATTTTTACTAAAAGGGAACATGGATGTTACTGATTGAGAAATAAATGTTAGCAAAATAATTTAATACAATTTATGCACTTCCAGAGGCATCCTCAAGGGGGTAAATGGGGCAGTTTCCCCCCCCCCTAGGGCATTTATTATTTTTAATTTTTTGTAATTTATGACATACTAGGAAAATAGGAAAATACATAAAAATATACTGTAAAATCATGTCATATCGCATATTAGACGCAAAAAAAAGAATGTTATTCGAATTAATAACTATATTTATAATTTAAAGTTTACTTCTTTACTGTAGGAAATTAAATTCCTCAAGATGTATTTAGTACCATTGAGGAATGTGATTTAGTATTTTTTCCATAGTTAAAAAGCTCTTGGTTATATTGGGAACTTTACCAGTTTGTATTGCTTCAGCGGAACGTAGCATTACAACACTGCGCACGTTATATTTGTTATTTGATCAAAAATTAGCACCTAATTAGTTTTAATTAGATTATCAAAAAGGTATCAACAATAAAATGATACAGGAAAGAGTCGATAAAAAAAATAGATTTAAAAAAAGTGTTGAAAGAAATGTATGGTTTATACTGTATGCTTAGTAACATTTTGTACTATAATAAAACAAATATTCAATTTTTTTTATTTTTTTTTTTTATATCTACCTATTGTTTTTTTTAATACAAATTAATGATTGGTTATTGATAATAATTAATACAATGCGTCTTTTTTATTCTTATAAAATTTGTAGTTTAAATTTGTATATGTTGTAGTTTAAAAAAAGAAATTTAAAAATGTATTATTTATTGAACTAAAGAGAAGTTTTAAATACAAATTATTAAAATAATTGGCATAATATAAAATTGAGTATTATGTATAATAACTAGATTTATTAAACGGAAAACATAGAAACATATTCATCATTAGCTACAAATACCTATATAGATACAGGCAGACCATATCATTCAATACACAACAATCATTATTTTAAATATTATTGACTTTTTTTGATATTTACTGTTGGAAAATTAAATAAAATCTTGAATCTTTTAGTGGTATAATATTTTTAGTCTCTGGATCTACTCTAAATGAGTATCATAATTTAACTTTTCAATGAAAAAGCCAAATTTTAGTATACCAGAAATTTAAAAGGATATTTTTTTATAAAATTAATTTTGATTTACAAGAATAATATCCTAATACCATTCTTATATATTTGAAATCATTTCCTATAATAAATTTCCAAATAACGCTAATATTTTTCTAAATAATGAGTATTGTGTGTTAAATGAATATTTTAATCCCGTATACTTATATTTTTTAAGCTTTTGTACATAGTTTAGGTTTTGCTTTGTAATTATTTCCTTGTTTTTCTTTGCTTATTAGATTAAAAACTTAGTTGGGAAATCAAATGAGGCAAGCACGTTTGACTGGTTTGGCGCTTCTGAATAATAATATTCCATTTAATGCTACTGATATAATTAATCGCTTTGCCAAATCAGACACAAAGTCGATTTCATCCTTTAATTAATTAAATTATATTCATATTCAACAAGTTTATTTTAACACTAACTGAGATATAAATAACAACTAATTACTTCTATTATTATTTTATATTTAAATAAATATACAAATATCATAAATACTGTGACTATGTTAATAAGTAACTTTATTTTTTCCCAAAAGCCGATATATTAAAAATTTGGATTTTAATAGATTCTGGTATTTTACGGAGACCATTTTTCCTAAAGCATGGGGCACATACAGCGATATAAAGGAACTCGTATTTTCATTGATATGTCCGTTTACTTAATCGTGGATTTCATATTTTTATAAATACAATAGACAATCATTGTCCATTCACTTTAATACAAGATATTATCATTACAATAAACATTTTGTTTCACATTGTAATCACATTTTATAAAAATAATACAATTTTCGTAAAATGCTTATAAATGGCCAAAATGATTCGAAAACTTTACCATGTCCAGAAAAGTAAAATATAAGTTTTTTTATTCAAATTTCGAGTCTAAGAATATTTTAAACTGAATTTCAATATAAAACAAAATTGAACAATTTTAAATGTATTGTTTTCGTGCATTTCTCGTTTTTCTTACGTTTTATCCTGCTTTTCTACAGATATTATGAAAATCGCCTGGAAAATCAAAAAATGACCTCCCAGAAGCACCATTTAGACAACATTCCTTTTCAAAAAAGATGCCATGAGTATACAAAGGCTATTTTTACTGTGAGTTTTATACATAATTTATATTCACTAGGTACTCTATGATACAATTATTAGACTTGAACAGAAATACGTGTGCAATTAACAGGAGATTTATGAGGAGTTTAACTTTTTGACCAAAAAGAACAAATTGAGTTTAATGTACTATTTTTATTTTATAAGCGAATTTCAATATTAAATTTTGACGAAAATCGTTTGAATAAATAACCTACGTGGAAAACTCTATTTTATCAATTTTTTTTATTATTTTTTTTTTTTGAACATAGTTTCGAAATAATTGCTTTTTGAACTTCTGATATTATGTGGATATTATATGTTATATTAACTTTTTATTGTCCTTCTTAAAGCATATTTGTCGTGATCTAATGGTTAAGTATGCTTTACATCGCCCAAGTAGTTCGAGCTCAAACCAGTGTAAAAAAATGTATAGCATTATACTTATATAAGGTAAAAACAAATGCCTCTCAAATTGTTGTGCAAACTTTTCTACCAGCAATTTCTTTCGGATTTAAAATGATAACATTTTTTCTTGAATAAAAATCTTACTGGGATGGTTCTTTAGAGAAGTAATTTTTCGATTTTCATAGGAGTTTTCTCAATAAATGGGAAAAGCCGTGAAAAACAGAGGAAAAATGAGAAAATATTTAAAATATAAAATATATTTGTAAAATATTATGATTTTTTTCTGTAGATAACTTTTTTACTTGTGATTTACCATGATAGCACTTTTTTAATAGGAAATCTGACTGGTAAGGTAACTTAGGGAGCTCATTTTTCGATTTTCGTCCAGTAAATGTGAAGAACTCTTTAAAAAAAAATTTTAACTTTCATGGTCCTTTTTAAATTCGATTAATGAATAAATTGAAATTCAAACGAGATTGAACGACCGGCAGGATTTCGAAAGTTGAAATAAAAATTAGGGCGCACTCAAATAATACATAAGTATACGTCAGGTAATTATTGCACATAGAAGCTCAAGGTGAACAAAAATATCGCCCATCGCATTATGAATATTTTATATTACAATTATTTCTAAGGCTGAATTAAACAACCCCGGTTCAACGCGGTTTTGCCAAGTTCATATTTCTAACTTGAACTTAAGTGTAGAGTGCACGTACAATACTAATATAACCGTTCGATGAAAATTGCGGGTGATTATAATTTTTTTTCATCGAGTTAATTGCTGTAAATACGAAATCAAAAAATGAAATATGTAAATAACTTAAGCGAAAATGTTAACGTTTTTTCAATGTTTTTTCACAGTGTTCTGTTGTAATTATGAAAAATAATCAAAATATCATAAATGAACAACAACATTTTTCTGATTTATAGGCGTTTAACCAAACAGTTATCATAATAGTATAGGAAACTATTTGTTATACACAAATAATTATCATAATAGTTAGTAAAATATTTGTTCCTACATTCAATATTTAAAACAAAATTTATCAATTTTTCGTGTTATGAACATAATGAGTTCTATATTAAACGACAAAAAAATAATAAAAACTAAAATTAAAAGTTGATATAAATAAATGAAAGTACAAGCCGCTTATTTCCTATTAATTCATAATCAGTTAAATCGATAGATCAAAAAAAATCATATATTTAATTATAATCAACAATAAAAAAAAACAAATTAATATTTTTGTAGTCGTTTACAAATATCGGTAGTATAATAATTTGAATTTGCTTATTAAAAAACAAAATTATGTTTATATTTAGATCGTTGATTAGATTTATAAAATTGTAGTGAAATTATAGAAACACAATTTAAAATAAACTAAATATATTTTGTGGACAGTACTGTGAGTACATAGTTGCAGCAGAATGGAATTCAAAATTTATGTCCATAGACTTCTTTGCGATTGAAAAAAAAGCACTCACGTAGTTCATAGCGTCCATGCAATTTCTATTTATAACATTATTAAATTGTTTGTATCCGTCATCGATGTCGGGAAGTCTGGTCTCGGACCACTGCGAAAAGTCCTTTTGTTCATCCGAGGGAATTAATTCGTCGACCTTTATACTACCGTTGTTGTCTATGTTTTTTATTATGGAAATGAGAGAGACCATTCGATTAGTTGGTTGGGGTTCATTCTGTGCGTATCTATTGGTGTATAAAGGTAAATAGAGATATTTGTAAAACAACTCTGTCCCTTCTGTGTACCATCGAACACTATCTCGTATGTTTTGTAAAACTCGAAAACCGACGCTACCACCTGTGCGCTTCAAGTACATAAATATGATTTGCGCGTATCGGTAAACGTACGTATTCATCGTTCTTTCTAGATGGTAAACAATCGTCTTGTGAAATTCCATGACGGTCAACATGTTTAAATCCCACGGTAATATGGCATGATACGCCACTGATAAACTCATAGTTACGTCTCTGACAGTTATATTTTTTGATTTTAACTCGTTCAAATTTACGTTTTCGGAATTTTCGGTAAGAAAATATTTACCGCTCAACCATTCGAACCGGGTCCATACACCCATGGTTTTTCCCGTGTAAAATTGTTTGATAGCATTATGGATTTCCCTTAGATAATCCATGTAAAGACTTATACAGATTTCTTTATTTATATACTTGTTTTTGTTTCTGCTCGGGACCTCAGTGGTTGTTATAAATATATTCCAAGTCCAAATGTTTTTTACCGACTCTCTTATGCAATCATTCTTTTCGGCTTCGAAACTCTTAACAACTTCAGTTCCGTGAAATGCACTGGTGCAACAGTTATCAGTATATCCTTTGTAGTCTACGCAGAATGTAAAATACGTGCTGTATATTATCGAGTCGTCGTTAACGTTGTTTTCTTTTAAAAAGACAAGAATTAAAGAGATTTTCTGACATATATTGTGTAACATGACCGTAATATTGTTCGTCACCTCCAGGTCTTTTCCGGTTGTTTGTGAAAGTATCTTTTTATCTTTCAAAAAATTATTTGTAATATGTTTTTGGAGTCTTATTAATATAAAAAATAATATTTCTTGTAATGCTTTGGGTGTTGACAAATCCTCTGACATAATTTCATACGTTGATAAATTGCAATGTTTCTTGAAGTCAAAGGTATAATAATTATTCAGCTCCAGAAAACTTTTTTTGGCATCATCATAATTTTGCATAATACTATCTCTAGGGTTTATTAAAGGCACTTTCAATTTCATTTCTTTAGTAATCGAATAATGTTTAAAATTTTGTAGCTTTATGTTAATGAGTTTATTCCTCATACATCGTGTCAATTTGATTTTGTCAATGATATTGTAAACATTCAAAATAAAATTCTTACTGTCATTCTTGTAGTTCGTTTGGTCAAACAAGTTGTTACTAATTTTTGTTTTTTCTTCTACCAATGATCTTATATATGTCAAATCTCTGTCAATTTCCTTAACAAAACGTTCTTTTTCTATATCATCAGTTGGCGCAGTAATATTTTTCATATAATACGTTGGTAATTTGTGACAAAGGATTATATGAATTTCGCTCAACATGGCTGTTATCGAATTCAGAAAGACATTAATATAGATAAAATTCAAACATCTCGGGAGCAATAAACAAATCGTTAAAATATAGTCTTTGTAAATGAGTCCGGTTTCATTATTTTTATTAAATACGTAGGTTATCTGCTGTAATATTAGAAGTAAATCGATTTCAAAAGCGATCAATTCTTTAGAAACATTTCCAAAATTATCGCCCTGATTCTGAGTAATATATTCTGCGCCTTTTTTGAGATTATAATTAGTTCTAAAATCGTTTACTGTTTTATTTAACTTACTGCTATTAGTAGGACATCCGAAAACTGCTGTAATTTTATTTGGACTTTCTGGAACAATAACATGCACTACTAACGTATAAAACACCAATTTTAGTGCATTAAATTTCATTGTACGCTGTTGTTGTAGGATTAAATAAAATGTGTACCTATTCTGAATAGAACATTTTGTTAATCGTATATACTTGTACCCTTTTCAGTTGGTATGATACAGTTATCGAACAACACTTTTTTGAGCACTTGATTAAATACAATTTATTTATTTAAGAGCGCTTATGCTTTGCACTGTTTTAAACCGTAAAGATTATCGGGAACATAAAAAATATACTTTATAATCTCGACACAGCCCGACTTTTACGTTCCTAAATATTATCATAATACATTTGTCGCCGCTTAATTGACTCGCGGTTAATTGACTCATTTTTCTATTGGTCTATCAGGCCACTTCCGATTTACACGAATATTAACACACAGAAAAATATTCGTTTCTGCGACTCACTACACCGGTTAATGGGGTCATTTAACAATAAGATAAGAAACAAAAAGAGAAAAACACTCTATTTATCGCAAGTTCACGGTACCGGCATTTCATCGTTATCGTAGAGTTTTAAACTAAATTATACTTCTGCGATAGTAATTCTTATGTACAATAATGACCCAAGCAGTCGTTGGTTTTTAAAAGTAGCACCTATGCTATTGGCGATGTGTTCATGTTTTGGTGCGAAGAGGGATTTAACAAAGACGTGCTTCTGACTTGTTTAAGCTGCATAGTGCTTATGAGGATAGGGTTGAAAAAGTTAACGAAGACGGGAAAGCTCAATCAACTTTGTTTTTTTTGATATCAAAAATGAATTAAGTACAATTTTTTATTTAAATACATAATACATATAAAAAATTACATTATTTCCATTTTTTCTACATTCATTTGATCTCAATAAATATTTTTAATTCAATTTTTGCACACAAGAATTAATTTTTGGAGGATCTCTCGTTTAATTGACTCATTTGGTTAATCGACTTAAATTGTCTGGTACCAAAGTGCGCCTAAAAAGCGGCGATCACTGTATAACTAAAATTTAATTTACTCTATTTAATAAACGCGTAATAAAAGCAGATTAATTTATGAGACTTTCAGCCATTAGGTAATCTTGGACACGCAATATGTTCCGGAAATATGATCCTCACCCGTTGTTTATACCCACAGTTATAACCATAATAATATGTTACGTGACATGACGACAGGTTACAATGGCGCTGCTGTTACATGTCATATTCACGTATGTAAAAAAAAGGTTAGGTATAGGTACAAATCAAAATTAAATATCCTTTTAATATCCTATTTTTAACTGTGGCATATCTCCTATTCTTTAAACATTATCATAACTATCATCATCACTACTAATATATAGTAGTAAAAATATTATTTTACTAATTATTTTAGATTCAATATGATTTTATATAAAAGTAACACAACTGTTTTATATTTCAAATTGACATTAAAAACTGTTGTTAATGCAATTATATCGGTAAAATTAAATGGTGCGTCAAAGATATCATGAAAAATACTTAATATAGGTGGGTATGTATAAAAGATACAAATTCTACTATCTAATATATAACAAAAGATAAAATAAAATTTGTATAACTTAATCTGTATGAGAAAAATTTAATAATAAATTTCATATGTCCTACATATTTTGTATTTGTTTCAGACAATGACATGACTTTGGTAAAGTGTAAATAAATGATAAATTTAGTGCATTAGGTTCATTGTATGCTGGTGTAGTAGGACTAGATAAAACGCGTACTTATTCTGAATAGAAACTTTTGTAACTCGTACATACGTGTAGCCGTTTCAGTTGGTATGGCTTTTTTGAACACTTGATTAAATATATTATATTGATTTAAGAGCACTTATGCTTCGTACTATTTTATTATACAAAGAATATCGAGAACGTACAAAATATATTTAATAATCATTTGACACAGCTATATTCTTATAGTCTTTATAATCTCATAAAAGGCGCAAAAAATATTACTCAGAATCACAAAGATGATTTCGGCCTAAAGAATTTATTACTTTTGAAATCGATTTACATCTAATATTACAGCAAATAACCTACGTGTTTAATGAAAATAATGAAACCTGACTCATTTACAAAGACTATATTTTAACGATTTGTATATTGCTCCCGAGATGTTTGAATTTTATCTATATTAATGTCTTTCTGAATTCGATAACAGCCATGTTGAGCGAAATTCATATAATCCTTTGTCACAAATTACCCACTTACTATATGAAAAATAATAGTAATATAATAATATATAATAATAATAATATTATCAATGCGTGCCCGATTGATATAGAAGAACGTTTTAGTAAGAGAATTGACGAACATTTGACATATATAAGATCAATGATAGAGGATAAAACAAAAGTTGGTAAAAACTTGTTTGAACAGCCGAACTACGAGAGAGACAGTAATAATTTTATTTTGAAAGTTTCAAGATCATTGGCAATATCGATTTGACACCATGTATGAGTAAAAATCTCAGTAAACTAAAGCTACCTAATATTAAACATTATTCGAGTACAAAAAAATGAAATTCAATGTAGCTGAAATAAGTACCAGAGGCAATAAAATTCAATACCATTCTGAAAACAATATACATTCTCGGGAACTCAATAAAAATTGTATAAACGAACTTCAGAACAATTGCGGATTATCAAAATATGAAATTAAGTCAAAGGACTTATTGACATTCGAAGCAATGCAAGAAATATTTTTTTATACGTTAAAGAGACTTCAACAATATTTTACAAATACTATATTTAACGGTATCTATAAGTATGGTATATAAGTGAATATTTCACAAGCAACCGAAAAAAACCTGGAGGTGACAAACAATGTTACAGGCAGATTACACGAAATATGTCAGAAAATATATTTAATTTTTGTCTATTTAAAAGAAAATAAGATTAACGAAGACCCTATAATGTTTAGTCTGTATTTGACGTTTTGCGGAGATTTTAAGGGATACACTGATATCCGTTGCACCAATGCATTTCACGGTTCTGCAGCTATTAAGGATCTCGAGGCCGAGAAGAATAATTGCATAAGGGAGTCGGTGAAAAACATTTGGACGTATAATATGTATATAATAACCACTGAGGTTCCAGTAAAAAAAAAGACAAGTATGTAAATAAAGAAAACTGTATATTGTTGTACTTCAATTATCTAACGAATATCTACAATTCTATCAAGCTGTTTTACAAAGGAATTGTCGTATGGACCACTTTTGAGTGGTTGAGCGGTAAATATTTTCTTACCGAAAATTTCGAAAACGTTAGTTTACTTACACGCGGAAATCATAGTTTGGTACTTAGAGCGCATAGATAGCAGCGTCGATTCTCATGTTTTAAAAAAACATACGAGATAGTGTTCGGTGGCATACCGACGGGACAAAATTATTTTACAAATATCTTTATTTACCTTTTTACACCGATAAAGACCTACAGAATGAACCCCTACCGTCTGAAGACATAAAAACTATCATAAATGGAATAAGAAATATAGATAACGACTGTAGTATAAGTATCCTCGAACTCATTCCAGAAGAATAACAAGAAGACTTTTGGATTTTGTCCGAGACCATTCTTCCCGATAACGATGACAGACAATTTAACACGGTTATAAATAAGAATTGCACGGACGCTATGGATTTTACAATTACTTATTTTTCAATCGCAGAGAAGTCTATGGACATAAATTTCGAATTCCATCCTGTTTCAGCTATGTACACACAGTATTGTCAGGAAAATATATTTAATGTTAAATCTATCGACAAGTCTATGCGCGTTGTTAAAAAGGAGCAAGACAATACAGAGGCTAGTTCTGAAAGCGTAGCTATTGCTTCGAGTTCACCGGGGAGTTTTAAAATATTTATGAATTAATTGTTAAGTTTACTTAAACTGAAATAAAACCATCCGTATGAACTTAATGTTAAATTTTTTTTTAGGAATCAAACATTTTTTATGCAACTGGCATAAATGTGTATTTACTACGTATTTTAATAAAAATTATTTATAATTAAAATTCCATTTTACGTAGTGTAAATTGAGCGCATCTATTTCCTACTTAAATATGAATACAATTTTATTAATCTATTGAACGATGTAAATTATACATAAATATAATTTTTTTAAACAAACAATTTCAAAATATTATACTACGGATATTTGTAAACGGCTATTAAATAAAGATAAGAAATAAGCGGTTCATACTTTTAATTAGATTTTTGTACATTTAATTTTAGTGTTTAGTTATTATTTATTCAATAAAACGCATTATATTACTAACACCAATAATTAGTTAATTTTACCTACCCCCAAGTGAAATTGTCCACCATCGGGAACCAACCCTGATGTTGAGTAAGATTGCAGGGATGTTGCTGATTGAGAAAAAATGTTAGTAAAATAATTTAATAGAATTTACGCACGTCCAAGGGCATCCTCAAGAGGGGCAAATGGCGCAGTGGTTCTTCCCCATGGTCTTCCTTTTTTACATTTTTTTTGTAATTTATGTCACACTCGGAAAATGCATAAAAGTTCACTGTAAAATCATGTGATACCGCATATTAGACACAAAAAAAAAAAAAATTTACAAGAATTAATAACTATATAAATAATTTAATTCTAAGTATATTTCTTTATTTTAGGAAATTAAATTCCTCAAGATGTATTTAGTGTCATTGAGGAATGTGATTTAGTTTTTTACATAGTTAAAAAGCTTTTGTTTTTATTGGTATCATTACCAGATTGTATTTATTTAGCCGAACGTAGCATTTCAACACTGCAAAGATTATATATGATAATTGATTAAAAATTAGCACCTAATTAGTTTTTGCTAGATTATTAATGAGGTATCAACATAAAATGATACAAGAAAGAGTCGATAAAAAAAATAGATTTAAGAAAAGTTTTGAAAGAAATATATATTGTGTATACTGTATGTTTGGTAACATTTTGTACTGTGATAAAACAATTGAATATTTTTTTATTATTTTCTTTATACAGAGGAGGCCAAAAGTCGCGCAACAAATTTGCAACATAGTTTTTATAAAACTGTTGTGTTTTATGTTAAATATGTTGTTCTTTTATAAACCTTGCTGTTGTACGAAAACAAAATAACGAGACCAAAGTTGCAATGACGTAACGGAAACGACGTGCAGGGAGAGAAACTGCGGCGTCACTAATATTTTTAGTCTCTACCCTAAATGTGTATCATAATTTGACTTTTCAATGAAAAAGTTTTTTTTTTAATACCAGAAAACTAAAGGGATATTTTGTTAATGAATTCAATTTTGATTTACAAGAATAATATCCTAATACATTTCTTATTTATTTGAAATCATTTCCCAAAATAAATATACGAATAAAGTTAATACTTTTCTAAATAATAATAAGTACTGTGTGTTAAATGAATATTTTAATCCCGTATACTTATATTTTTAAGGCTTTTGTATATAATTTCTGTTTTTGCTTCATAATTATTTCCTTAGCTTTTCTATGCTTTTTAGATTAAAAACTTGGTTGAGAAATCGAATGATAAAAGCACGTATGACTGGTTTGGCGCTTCTGAATAATAATATTCCATTAAATAACCCTAAATTAATCAATCGCTTTGCCAAATCAAAACACAAAGTCGATTTCATACTTAAATTAATTAAATTTTATCCATATTCAACAAGTTTATTTTAACACCAAATGAGAAGTAAATGAGTACCTATAATAATTGCAAATTGTTTTTCCTCGATTTATTACCTGATTACTTCAATTATTTTTTTATATTTAAATAAATATAAAATTATTTTAAATACTGTGACTATGTTAACAAGTAGCTTTTTTTTTTCTAATAGCAAAAATATTAAAAATTTGTATTTTAATATGATTTTTCTATTTTAGATTCTGGCGTAGCGAAGATTTTCTTCGTTACGCATTCGCTGAAATTTTACCATAAATTTTGCTCAAATGTATACGCATGGCATCATTTTTAAAAAGGAATATTGTCCAGACGATACTTCTGACTGGTCATTTTTTGATTTTCCAGGCGTTTTTTATAATATCTGTTGAAAAGCAGGATAAAACGTAAGAAAAACGGGAAAAAATTTCTGAAATAAAATTTAAAAAAACTGCCCCTTATTCAAATTTCGCCAAACAAGTTTTAGAAAATAATCATAATATAAGCTATTATGTCAATACAGACGTGGAGATATTAAATACCCTATATATCATTTAAATTTTTATTAGTTTTTGAAAAAAAACATGTACAAATACAATGCAAAAGCAAAATCATTTTTATAATATTTTAAATGAACAGACCGATTTTAAAAATAATATCTATCAATAAATTTTAGATAATAAATAATAACCAAATGATTTACATTTCATAACATATTGATGTCAAATAGTAAACAATTTTAAATAATATCTCGTATAAAGATAAATTATTTTTATCTAAAATGACCAATTTGTATTGCTTAATTTATTTTATGTATTCCTTGTGTTAATTTATATAATCAGTCGCGCGTTTAATTTTAACTGTGATATACCTGATGATGAATTTTTAATTCAAAACCGGTCTTATAATACACTTGTCATAATATTCTAGGATACGCATTCTTTCGATTATTTATTATTTATTTATTTATTTGTTAACAAGTATCAACAATCAAGATAATTTTGTTTTAACTTTCTTATTTTATTAATTATTACGCATAGGCTTAAAAAAATAATTTGCAATTAATCTGTATATAATATCAAAGAATAATATAGAATTAATTAAAATATTAATTAATTAAAAAATATATTAAATAATTATTTAATATATTTAATCAATTGGTAAAAATAATAATAATAATAAATTGTGAGTATTAACTAAACATTTTGATTATAATATTAAATAATTAATACTATTACAATATTTTAAAGAAAATAGTTAATGGATATTATATTATTTCAAAATGAGATAGTGTAGCTATACGATAGTAATTTAATAAACATTTTTTTTTAAAGTTAATCTTTTTTATTCTTATAATCGAAAAACAGACATAAAATTAAATGTAAATTTATATAATTAAAGCTATAAACCACAAATATTTTATTACTACATATTTAGTTATGAAAAAAAAAATATATATCTTAATATTTTTTAGTCGTTTACAAAGGTACAATGTATCTTTTGACTTTGCCTATTAAAATATATATATTTATAAGCAGATTGTTAATTAAGTTTATTTAATTATAATTGCAATAAAAGAGGGTTGAGATGCACTCGATTAACACGACGTTAAAATAATGGTTTTAATATTAATAATATGTATCGAAATATGTAGTATTACAAATTAATGCTTATTGCATAAAATGAAACATTACATTGACACTCACGATTCTATTATATCTAAGTCCAATGCGCTCTAAGGTATAGAAAATATATTTTGCGGACAGTGCAGTGAGTACATAGTTGCAGCGGAATGGAATTCGAACTTTATGTCCATAGACTTCTTTGCGATTGAAAAAAAAGTACTCATGTATTTCATAGCGTCCATGCAATTCGTATTTATAGCATTATTAAATTGTTCGTATCCGTCGTCGATGTCGGATAATTTTGTTTCGGACCACTGCGAAAAGTCTTTTTGTTCATCCGAGGGAATAAATTCGTCGACATTTATACTAACGCTGTTGTCTACAATTTTTATTATGGAAATGAGAGAGACCATGCGATTAGTTGGTTGGGGTTCATTCTGTGCGTCTGTATCGGTGTATAAAGGTAAATCGAGATATTTGTAAAATAATTCTGTTCCGTCTATATACCACNTCCGTTAAATAATTTAAGTACAACTTTGTACAGAGTTCATTATTTACAAAATTTTCATTTGTCTTTTTCGGTACCTCATTGGTTAATTTAAATAAATTCCAACTCCAAATGTTGATCATCGACTCGGTTTCACAATTTTCCAATTTGGGGTTAAAAACCTTTATCAAAGCTTCAGTGCCGGGAAATGGATTATTGCAACAGATATCAATGTATCCCTTGTAGTCGCCACAGAACGCCAAATACATGCTAAATATTATCGAGTCGTCGTTAAACTTATTAACTTTATTTAAAGTTATTTCTTTTAAATACATGATAATTAATGGGATATTTTGACATATACCTTGTAACATGTCCATAATATACTTCGTCTTCTGGTTATTTTCGGTTTCAGTTGGAAGTTCCTCTATATGACCGCTATCATCTTTATCATCGTTAGAGTCGATATCATCGTTAGAGTCGATATCATCGTTATCATCTATATTATCGTTATCATCTATATTTTCGTTTTCATCTATATTATCGTTATCATCTATATTATCGTTTAGCATAGAATTTGTACAATGCTGTTGGAGTCTCCTAAGGGTAAGCAACAGTAATTTTTCCATAGCTTCGGCTGTCGAATAATCGTCAACAAATTGTATAAAACCGCATTCTTCTTTTTGAAGATTTTTTGCATAATCATTGTTGATTTCCTGAAAATGTATTGGTTTATCAGAATTTTGTTGAATTTCATTGCCTCCGGTCCTAATTTCAGTGACCTTAAATTGCATTTTGTTAGTTTGCGAATAACTTTCAAAAATATCTTTCTCTTCTAAGCCGTGAATCATATCCATATATGGTATCATATTATTATAACCCAGGATCTCGTAAACTATTATAATAAAACCCATACTCTGTTCCTCGTAATCTTGGTCATTCGGGATTGAGCTTTCCTCAACTTTTGTTTTACTCTCAATCATTGAATTTAGAGGTGTTAAAATTCTTTCCATTTTCTCATGGATATGTTTTTTTTCTGTATCCGCGGTTGCATTTTCATATTTTGTATAATACGTCGGTAATTCGTGACAAAGAATGATATGAAGTTCGCTCAACATAATTGTTATTGAACTCAAGAAGACACCAATATAGGTAAAATTCAAACATCTCGGGAGCATTGTACAAACCGTTCCTATAAAGTCCTTGAATTTAGCTTCATTTCTTTCGTTAAACGCGTAGGCCATTTGCTGTAATATAAAAAGTAACTCGATTTCAAAAGTGACAAATTGTGTAGGTACATTCCGGAAAACATTGAATTCATCTTGAACAATAATTTTTCCTGCTTCTTCAAGATTATGATTAATTTGAAATTCGTTTACTATGAAATTAAACTCCCTGTATTTTTTAGGCAATTCGACCAACGTTGTAATTTCATTTGGATTGTCTGGAACAATAGCATGCACTACAAACGTATAGAACAACAAATTTAAAGCATTAAAGTTCATTGTGCACCGGTGTTTTAGGACTAAGTAAAATGTGATCCTATTCTGAATATAGACTTTTGTAACTCGTATATACGTGTTGTACCTGTCACTTTTGAAATGATAGTTATATAGAACAATACTTTTTCAAACACTTGATTACATATAATAAATCGATTTAAGAACGTTTAGGCCTTTTGCTGTAAAATATATATATTGATCATTTGACACAGCCAGACTTTTACGCTCCTAAATATTATAATAAAACAACGTTCGCTGCTTAATTGACTCACGGTTAGTTAGACACATTCTTCTATTGGACTCGAACAGACCTGTCCCGATTTTCACGTATATTAAAACACAGACAAATATTTGTTTCTTTGACTCACTACATTGATTAATGGGGTCATTCAATAATAAGTGACAAAAATAGATAATAAATATACATATTCTACTATCTATTACATAAAAAAAGATAAAGTATAATTTGTATAACGTAAAGATAAATTAGAGTTAAATAAATAAATCAGAATGATATAGCGTACTTCGTATGAGAGAAATGTAGTTATATATTTCTTACGTCCTACATATTTTATATTTTGTTTCAGACAATAACAAGACTTAGATAAAGTGTATTGTTTACATATTATTATGCTTGGCTATTTTTTTTTTATAACACTACAAAACAATCATTTTATGACCAAGTATAATAGAAAATAATTACATTTTCTATTTTCAACGTGTGGATTTATATGTTAGTAGTGCATGTTATATATATCTTTCTCAAATATAATCACAATATTTTAAATCTAATCAACTATGCAGATATATATTTTTGTTTTTAACAGTCCAAGTTAAAACATTATGTTTCGGATAGTTGTAATTTATTTGTTACGATATTTGTTGTTTATTCGGTCTTCAGAAATAAGCGGTTTATAATTTTTATTATACAGTGCGTTCACGCTAAAAGGTACCACTGCATTATTGAGTTAGATGACCTAGTATTGAAATGGAATTTTCGGGGAATTTTTTGGAGTACCTATATATACATTTGTAGACAAATTTTAAATTTTTAACACTTTTGGTACGTGCATGTGCAATACAATTTACTTATTTTTGATAAGCTCATCGATAATCTACAACTACCGTAAAAAAAACAAAATTAAAGCATTGAAGTTCATGATTAACTGGTGTTGTAAGATTAGATAAAATCTGTGCTTATTCTGAAGAGAAACTTTTGCAACTCGAACGTTCCTGTAGGTATTTCATTTGGTATGATACTAGTATACTAGTAACATTGAACAACACTTTTTTAAACACTTGATTAAATATATGACATTGATTTAAGAGCGCTTATGTTTTTTACTCTTTTATGACGAAAAAAAATCGGGAACGTACAAAATATATTTAATAAACAATCGACAAACCCTGTTTTTTAAACTCATAAATCATTATAAATTAGTCATAGATATAATCATTAGTATGTTAGTATCATACTAAATTTAACGATTACACATATATATGAGTTGCGAAATTTTCTCTTCAGAATAGGTAAATACACATTTTAACAGTATAACGCATAGGCGCTCTTAAACCAATATATTAAATTTACTTTTAGTGTCCAATAGATTGTCGTTCAATATTACTAGTATTAACCGATATGGGTACAGGTATATACGAGTTACAAAGGTTTCTATTCAGAATAGGTACACATTTTATCTAATCCTACAACACCACCGTACAATGAAAAAATCATTATAAGATAGTTATAAATACAAGTATTATTATTTCAGTATCATAATAACTGCACCGATAACACGTATATACGAGTCGAGAAAATTTCATTCAGAATAGATAATTACATATTTTAACAGTAAAAAGCATTAGCGCTTTTAAAGTAATATTATATATTATTAGAGTATTCAAAATATTGTTGGTCGATAATACTAGTATCATACAAACCGAAACAGGTACACGTACATTAGAGATACAAAGATTTTATTCAGAGTAGGAATACATTTTATCTAATCTTACATTACCAGTGTGCAATGAAACTAATTGTTTTTAAATTGTTGTTTTATACGTTAGTGGTGCATCTTATTGTTCGAGACATTCCAAATAAAGTTACAACAATGTTCAGATTGCTTAATAATACAGGTGAGTATTATAAAACTGTAAACGGTTTTCAAACGAATTATAATCTCAAAGAGAAGGCAGAAATTATTACTCAGCATCAAAACAATGATTTCGGAAAAACACCCATAGGATTTATCATTTTTAAAATCGATTTACTTCTAATATTACAGCAGATGATGTTTAATAATGATACGGAACTGAACTTATTTATGAGGACTACATTTTAACGATTTGTATATTGCTCTCGAGTTGTTTGGATTATATCACTATTAATGACTCTCAGAAATTAATAATTGTTATGTTGAACAAAATGCATACAGTCATTTGTCACACATTACCAAGGTATTATAAGAAAAATATAAAAAAAACGTAACTACGTGTTTATCAGTTACGTAATATTTTATATTACTTTGGGGTATGGACTAGTTCCCTGTAGTTCTCCATAATATAATTTTACATCATTTAAACGGAACTATGAATACGTACGTTTACCGATGAGCGTAAACGATAAATTTGTACTTGACGCGCACAAGTAGCAGCGTCAATTCTCACGTTTTACAAAGCATACGTAATAGTGTTCGGCGGTATACGGAAGGGATGCAGTTATTTACAATTATCTTAATTTACATTTGTACACCGATAAAGACCCACGCAATGAGTCTTTACCACCTGTTTAAATAACAACAATCATTTAGAGAATGATTTTTAGAATAAATTATATAGACGATAAAGATAAATTAAAAGTCAACGACGTCATTCCTAAGGACGTACAAGACGATTTTTCAAAGTGTTTTGAATAATAAATTGTGAATATTAACTAAACATTTTGATTATAATATTAAATAATTAATACTATTACAATATTTTAAAGAAAATAGTTAATGGATATTATATTATTTCAAAATGAGATAGTGTAGCTATACGATTGTAATTTAATAAACATTTTTTTTTAAAGTTAATCTTTTTTATTCTTATAATCGAAAAACAGACATAAAATTAAATGTAAATTTATATAATTAAAGCTATAAACCACAAATATTTTATTACTACATATTTAGTTATGAAAAAAAAAATATATATCTTAATATTTTTTAGTCGTTTACAAAGGTACAATGTATCTTTTGACTTTGCCTATTAAAATATATATATTTATAAGCAGATTGTTAATTAAGTTTATTTAATTATAATTGCAATAAAAGAGGGTTGAGATGCACTCGATTAACACGACGTTAAAATAATGGTTTTAATATTAATAATATGTATCGAAATATGTAGTATTACAAATTAATGCTTATTGCATAAAATGAAACATTACATTGACACTCACGATTCTATTATATCTAAGTCCAATGCGCTCTAAGGTATAGAAAATATATTTTGCGGACAGTGCAGTGAGTACATAGTTGCAGCGGAATGGAATTCGAACTTTATGTCCATAGACTTCTTTGCGATTGAAAAAAAAGTACTCATGTATTTCATAGCGTCCATGCAATTCGTATTTATAGCATTATTAAATTGTTCGTATCCGTCGTCGATGTCGGATAATTTTGTTTCGGACCACTGCGAAAAGTCTTTTTGTTCATCCGAGGGAATAAATTCGTCGACATTTATACTAACGCTGTTGTCTACAATTTTTATTATGGAAATGAGAGAGACCATGCGATTAGTGGGTTGGGGTTCATTCTGTGCGTCTGTATCGGTGTATAAAGGTAAATCGAGATATTTGTAAAATAATTCTGTTCCNTTATACAGTGCGTTCACGCTAAAAGGTACCACTGCATTATTGAGTTAGATGAATGAGTTAAAATATTATCAATATAGATATTAAAAACGTAACTACGTGTTTATCAGTTGCGTAATATTCTATATTACTTTGGGGTATGGACTAGTTCCCTGTAGTTCTCCATAATATAATTTTACATCATTTAAACGGAACTATGAATACGTACGTTTACCGATGAGCGTAAACGATAAATTTGTACTTGACGCGCACAAGTAGCAGCGTCAATTCTCACGTTTTACAAAGCATACGTAATAGTGTTCGGCGGTATACGGAAGGGATGCAGTTATTTACAATTATCTTAATTTACATTTGTACACCGATAAAGACCCACGCAATGAGTCTTTACCACCTGTTTAAATAACAACAATCATTTTGAGAATGATTTTTAGAATAAATTATATAGACGATAAAGATAAATTAAAAGTCAACGACGTCATTCCTAAGGACGTACAAGACGAATTTTTTTAAGTGGTCCGAAAACCGAAGTTCCCGATAACGATGACGGATACCAACAATTCAACAGTGTTATATCCTTTCGGTCGCGGTGAAGTCCATGGACATAAACTCCGAATTCCATGTTTCTCCAATAGTAGTTATTTTTTTTCCCCCGTCCGCTGCGCCGCCCCGCAAGTGTTTTTCCCGGACCCGAGGGGTCTGCGGATCCGTTGTGCCCGTCCGCCCGGCGATTTGGCGCGCTTCGCGCCGAACAGCCTACACCGTCAACGTTACCGGCGACACACATCCAGCGACGTCATCCGCGCTCGCGCGTCATGTCGTTCGGGTTACTTTTGATTTCGGAACGTCCGCGCCGGCGGATCAATGAACCCAATCCAAATTAGTTGTTCACATTCACTGTTGCCGAGTACCTGCGGTCTATGTAGTACGTTATTCTTATCATTGTTATTGAATTATTTATCTCGCGCTAACCACCTTTCGTTACTTATTACGTTTACGATAATTAATTCTGCCATCCTCGTCATCCACCTGCGGGTCTACCGACGCAACCGGCTACGCAACTTGGATTAGTTTTTACGTAGGCGCCAACAAACGCAGTTGGTGAGACCGGAATTATGTTGCTAAAACAACGTTATCCGAGTGATTCCAGCATGTGCGAAATAGTTTTAACTTACTAGTATAGAACGGTGTATTTCTTGGTCTTGTGCTTAGCGGTCCTACCTTCGGAAACAAAGGTTACAAACTAATACACATTTCTTACTAAATAATGGCGCCGGTTCAGCAATTTTTTAAACATCGTGATCGTTTTTAAATTCGATTATTCAACAAATAATGCCTATCGCATTATGAGTGTTTTATATTACAATTATTTCCAAGGACAAATTAAACAAGCCGTTTCAACGTGGTTTTGCCAAGCTTATATTAATAATCAGAACTTTACTGTAGAATGCTCGTATAATACTACTTTAAGCGTTCGATGAAAATTACAGGTGTTAACGATTATTTTTCACTGAATAAATCGCCGTAACAAAGAAATCAAAAATGAAATATAAAAATTAACTATGCAAAATTGCTATCGTTCTTTCAAAGATTTCTAGTGATTTCTGACTTGAATAGAGGAATAGTACAACATATATCAAAACTGACCGATACCATCCTTCTGATCGATAGCAGGTTTACCGAAAAAAAATATAAACAAAAAAAATATCAAAAATACAGTAAACAATTAATTACTATATTCCATATATGAAATAAAATAAATCGAATATGAGTGTTACGAATGAAATGCGTTTTATTGGAGAAAAAAACTCTAAAACCTAAAATTAAAACTAAATGTATAATATTGAACGTATAAACCGCTTATTTTAATAACTATATAATATGTCAAAAAAAAAAAAAAAAAAAAAAACAATTATATTTTTTAGTCAATTAAAATATCTGTAGTATAATATTTTGACTGTGACTATTTTGATATATGTGTATAAAGTTAGATCAAAAATTAGATTAAAAATATTGTAATTATATTAGAGGAATATATAGAAGATATAAAAAATATAGACTCAAATATCACTAGGTTAAAATGATATTTTAAATATTAATAATATGTATAGAAATAAATAGTGTTTACAAATTAAGGCTCAGCAGGAGAAAAATAATTTATTTATAAAAAAAAAAAATCATTACGTTGACACTTACTAATCTATTTAATCCAAGTCCAATACACTATCAGATACACAAAATATATTTTGTGGACAGTACTGTGAGTACATAGATGCAGCAGAATGGAATTCAAAATTTATGTCCATAGACTTCTTTGCGATTGAAAAAAAAGCACTCATGTATTTCATAGCGTCCATGCAATTACTATTTATAACCTTATTGAATTGTGCGTATCCTTCATCGATTTTAGGAAGCTTTGTCTCGGACCACTGCGAAAAGTCATTTTGTTCATCCGAGGGAATAAATTCGTCGACATTTATACTAACGCNGATTAGTTGGTGGGGGTTCATTCTGTGCGTCTGTATCGGTGTATAAAGGTAAATCGAGATATTTGTAAAATAATTTTGTTCCGTCTATATACCACCGAACACTATCTCTTATGTTTTGTATAACTTGAAGACCGACGCTACTACCAATGCGCTTCAAGTACATAAATAAGATTTGCGCGTATCGGTACACGTACGTATTCATCGTTCTGACTAGATGGTATACAATCGTCATGTGAAATTGCATGACACTGAACGTATTTAAGTTCCACGGTACTATGGCATAATACGCTACTGATAAACTGATAGTTACGTCTCGGTAAATTATATTTTTTGATTTTAACTCGTTCATATCTACGTTTTCAGAATTTTCGGTAAGAAAATATTTACCGCTTAACCACTCGAACGTGGTCCATACGCCCAAGGTTTTTCCTTTGTAAAATTGTTTGATGATGTAATGGATATCCGTTAGATAATTCAAGTACAACTTTATACAGATTTCATTGGTTAAATAATTTTCATCTGTAGTTTTCGGTACCTGTTTGGTTATTTTATATACATTCCAACTCCAAATGTTCTTCACTGACTCACTAATACAATTATACGCACTGCCCTTCAAAATATTCCGTTTTGCTATAGTGTCCAGAAATTGACTAGTGCAACGAACATCAGTGTATCCCTTGTAGTCGCCGCAGAACGTCAAATACATGCTAAATTCTATCGAGTCGTCGTCAAACTTATTAACGTTATTTAAACTTATTTCTTTTAAATACATAAAAATTAAAGGGATATTCTGACACATACCTTGTAACATATCTATAATATAGTTCGTTTCCTGGTCGTTTCCGTTTTTTTTGGTAGTTTCCTCCTTAAACAGAGAATATGTACAATACCGTTGAAGTCTACTAAGTGTAAACAACAGAGTTTTTTGCATATTTTCAACTGCCGAAATATCGTCATCAAATTGTATTAAACCACATTCTTTTTTTTGAAGTTCATTTGCATAATTTTTTTTGATTTGCAGAAAATGCATTGGATCTACGGAATGTTGTTGAATTTCATTGCCTCTGGTACTTATTTCAGGCACCTTAAATGTTTTTTTGTTAATTTGGGAAACATTTATATTAATATCTTTCGTATTTAAGCAATGAATTATATCCATATATGGTATCGTATCATTAGAACCCAGGATATGGTATGCTTCTCTAATCAAAAATACACTTCTGTCCTTAAAATTCTGCTCATTTTCAAATGATTTAGTACTGATTTTTGTTTGATTTTCTATCGTTGATTGTAGAGATGTTAAAATTTTGTCCATTTTTTCATTAACAAGTTTTTTTTCCGTATCATCCGTGCTCGCATTTGTATATTTCATATAATACATTGGTAATTCGTGACAAAGAATGATATGCATTTCGCTCAACATAATTGTTATTAAATTCAAGAAGACACCAATATGGGTAAAATCCAAACATCTGGGGAGCAACATACAAACCGTTCCTATAAAGTTCTTGAGTTCGGTTTCATTTTTTTTTTTAAACACGTAGGTCATTTGTTGCAATATTAAAAGTAACTCTATTTCAAATGTGATATATTCTTTAGGTGCATTCAAAAAGACATCTAAATCATTTCGAAGAATAGTTTCTGTTGTTTTAATAAGATTATAATGCTTTTCAAATTTGTTCACATTTGTTAAAAACTGACCTTTATAATTAGGAAATCTGTACATTGGTGAAACTCTTTTTGGAATGTCTGGAACAATAACTTGCACCATGATCAAATAAAACAACTGTTTTAAAGTATTCAAGTCCATTGTACGCTTGTGTATTTGGACTAGATAAAATGTGTAACAATTCGGAATAGAATATTTTCTAACTCGTATACTCGTGTACCCGTTTCAATTAGTATAAAACTAGTAAAATCGAACAACATTTTGGTTGAACACCTGGTTAAATACATTATAATGACACACACATTAATTGAATAATAACATAAAGATTATGGGGAACGTAGAAAAATTATTTATTAATCACTCGACCCAGACTGATTTTCATGCTCATAAATCATTATAAGTTTGTTATAAGTACTAGCATTATAATGTTGGCATTATACTTAATGCCATGGCTTTATTTATATACGTAGTGCGAGAGTTTCTTATCTGTATAGGTACCCAAACATTTTAACAATGTAAAACATTAACGTTCTTAAATCAATATTATATAAATAGTAAAGCGTTCTAATAAATTTTGTTCGTTTATCCCAGTATCGTAAAAACAAAGTTGGATACAGGAATATACGAGATATATAGGTTCTTTTCTCAATAAATACACATTATATCACATCCCACAACATAAGTGTACAATGAATTTTAATGTTTTAAAGTTGTTGATTTATACGTTAGTAGTGCATGTTATTAATCCAGATATTCCAAATAAGGTTACAGCAGTTTTCGGATGTGTTTCGAATAGAAGTAAGTTAAATAAAACAGTTAATGATTTTCAAAGGGAATATAATCTCATAAGAGTCACAGAAAATATAACTCGGGATCAAGGCGATGACTTCGGACAAGTACCTAATGAATTTATCGCTTTTCAAATAGATTTACTTCTAATATTACAGCAGATGGCCCACGTGCTCAATGAAAGAAACCGAACTGGATTCACGTACAATGAATATTTTGTAACTGTNCGGATGGCCTTCGAATAGAAGTAAGTTAAATAAAACAGTAAACGATTTTCAAAGAGAATATAATCTCAAAAAAGTCACAGAAAATATAACTCGGGATCAAGGCGATGACTTCGGATATATACCTAATGAATTTATCGCTTTTCAAATAGATTTACTTCTAATATTACAGCAGATGGCCTACGTGCTCAATGAAAGAAACCGAACTGGATTCACGTACAATGAATATTTTGTAACTGTTTGTTCATTGCTCCCGAGATGTCTGGACTATATCAATATAAATGTCTTTCAGAATTCTATAACCGTAATGTTAAACAAAATGCATATAGTTCTTTGTCAAACATTGCCTACGTATTATTTAAAAATTATCAAATCAGCACGGAAGAATACAGAAAAAGAAGTTATTTATAAGGAAATTGAGAGAAATTTGATATATCTAATATCAATGTTAGAGAATAAAACAAAAATTCGTTACAACTTATTTGAGGATCCAAACTACCAGGAAAGCAGTAAGAATTTTCTTTTCAGTGTTTACAATAACATTGGTAAATTCGATATGATAACATGTATGAGTGAAAATCTCGGAAGCATTAAGAATTATCCTACCGTCAAAAAAACGCTTAACGAAAAGGAATTACAAAAGTTGTTTACCAGAAACAATAAAATTAAACAATTTTTAGAAAACAAAAAAGTTTTTTTGGATGTAAACATGAATTATACAGATAGACTTAAAAAAAAATGCGGTCTGTCAAAATATGAAATTCGAACAAATGATTTGTCTATGTTTGAAGCAATGCACAAATTATTTGTTTATACATTACATCGACTCCAACAATTCTTTTCTAACACTTTATTAAAGACTCAAAACAAAAATTCACGAATAACTGAAAATGACCTGGTTGATATAGGCATAATAACAAAAATGATACTCGAATTATGTCAGAGTATCTCATACATTCTTGTTTTTTTTAAAGAAAATATGTTTAACGATGACTTGAAAATATTCAACGTGTATTTTACGTTCTGCTTCGACTTTACGGAATACACCAATACGCGTTGCATAAGTGCATTTCACAGTACACCAGCAGCTAAGCGATTCAAGAAACAGCGGATAAATTGTTTATGGGAGTCGTTGATAAACCTTTGGACGTATAATATATTCGTAACAACCACTAAGGTCCCGAAAATAAAATACGACAAGTATTTAAGAAATAAAGATTGTATATACTATTACAGGGACTATCTAACGACCCTCTACGATAGCATCAGACAATATGACAAAGAAATTGGCGTATGGACCACGTTTCAGTGGTTGAGCGGTAAATATTTTCTTACCGAAAATTTCGAAAACGTAGATATGAATGAATTAAAATTGAAAAATATAAAAATTAAAAACGTTACTATGAGTTTATCAGTGGCGTATTATTCGCTATTACCGTGGAGTATAAACACATTCCCTGTAGGCCTACTTCATAATATGATATTACAGCATCTAAACAGAACGATGAATACGTACGTTTACCGATACGCGCTAATTATAGATTTGTACTTAAAGCGCACAGGTAGCAGCAACAATTCTCACGTTTTACAAAACATACGAAATAGTGTTCGGTGGTATACGGACGGGACAGAATTGTTTTACAAATATCTTAATTTACCTTTGTACACTGATAAAGACCCACAGAGTGAATCCTTACAATCTTTTGAAATAAGAACTATAATTTCTAGAATAAAACATCTAGATGATAACGGTAAAATAAGTATCAACGACGTCATTCCTATAGACGTACAAGCCGATTTATTGAAGTGGTTCGAAACCGAACTTCCCGATAACGATGAAGAGTACCATCAATTCAACACGATTATAAATAAGAATTGCATGGACGCTATGGACTACATCAATACTTTCCTTTCGATCGCAGTGAAGTCTTTGGACATAAAATCCGAATTCTATCCTCCTTCAATTACGTACACCGATTACTGCCCGGAAAATATATTTAATGTTAAATCGGTCGAAAAACCAATAAGAGTAAATAAATTTAGTACTTTTTTTCTTTTTTAAGAATTTAATATTTATTTAGCTATAGAATCAATTTGTATTCACTGCGTATTTTCATATAAATGATTAACATTTTTAATATCTTTTAAAACTGATTTCTAATTGCATCCATATCGTCCTAAAATGTAATGTAACTCTCACAAAAAGAAAATCAAACATAAATACTGATACTTCTATTAAAANTCCTCCAATTACGTACACCGAATACTGCCCGGAAAATATATTTAATGTTAATCGGTCAAAAAACCTATAAGAATAAATGAATGTAGAACTTTTTTTCTTTTTTAAGAATTTAATTTGTATTTAGCTATGGACATAAGTTTGTATTCACTACGTATTTTCATATAAATGATTAACATTTTTAATATCTTTTAAAACTGATTTCTAATTGCATCCATATCGTCCTAAAATGTAATGTAACTCTCACAAAATAAAATCAAACATAAATACTGATACTTCCATTAAAAACACGTTTGATATTGTTGATAAAATGAATAAAATAAATATTGAGTCACATCACAAAATGATTTATCTTGACGTCAAAAATGTATATCCGTCCATTCCTAAACACGAAACAGTAATTTTTTAAAAAAATAAATGTATACATTTTGATAAATTTTATACAAACAAAGTACAAGAAACCAAGATGAACTCATGGTTATCTATAATATAGCCCATAGAAAATATAATTTTAATTTTAATACTATTAAAAAATGCATAAACGTATTTAAGGAAAAATGAAAAACAACTCACCAATTAATATTGTTAACTATTTTTAGTGTGACATATCAAAATAATATGTCTAAAAAATTTTCTAAAATTCCAAACAATATTACAAATAATGTAAACATCGCTTTTATGACTAACAATAATTTAATAAAACATATATAAACAAAAGAAAGAAACACTCCACAAAAAATCCCCCTTCTTTTGAAAATTCTGGTATATATAAACTTAAATTTAAGTGTAATTATTTTATATAGGTTTTGCAAATAGGAATTTTAAATTTTAAAATAAGATTTAATGAACAAATTTCTGAAATAAAACTAAAAAAGTCTGCCTCGAATTAAATTTCGCTAAACATGTTTTAGGAAATAACCATAATATATGCTATGATATCAATACGGACTTGGAGATATTAAATACCCAATAATTAATTTAAATTTTTATCATTTTTAGAAGAATTACATATACAAATACAATGAAAGAATGCAAAATAATTTTAATAATATTTTAAATGAACAAACCGAATTTAAAAATAATAACTATCAGTAAATTTTAGATAATAAGATATAACCAATTTTAAATAATATCTCGTGTTAAAAAAATTATTTTTATGTAAAATGACCAATTTATATTGTATAATTTTTTACCTATTCCTTGTATTAATTTTTATAATCGGTCACCTTTTTCATTTTGACTGTAATATATCTGATGATGAATTTTTAATTCAAAACCGGTCTAATATTACAATTATCCTAATAATCCAGGCTACGCATTATTTCGTCAATTTTTTTTTGTATATAAATTTCTTATTCGTTTACTTAATTATTTTCAATAATCAAAAATTTCTATCATTTTGAATTAACATTATTATTTTATTATTTAATACTCATAGGGTAATATAATTAATTTGCAATTCATTTTTATACAACATTATTTAATATATTTAATCAGTTAGTAAAAATAATAATAATAAATTGTGAATATTAATTTAAAATTTTGATTATAATATTGAATTAATAGTACTCTTACAATATTTTCGAGAAAATAATTAATGGATATTATATTGTTTCAAAAGGAAATACTGTATAGTTATACGATAATAATTTAACACAAATTTGTCTTTAAAATTAATAAATTTTATTCGCATTATTTTATCCTATTATCAAACATAGTCGTTCTTGTGATAACTGTAATATAATTAAACAAGTATGGACAAAGAAATCAAGACGAAATATTAAATGTAAATTTATAAAATTAAAGGGGTAAACCACAATTTTTTTATAACTTTATAACCAGCAAAGAAAACAAAAACCATCATAACATTTTTAGACGTATACAATTGTCCGTAGTATAATATTACCTGAGATTACCTGTTAAAGTATAAATAATTATATCTATATATTTAGATATTAATACTTAGATCGTTGGTTAGAATGATAAAATTGTAATTACAATAAAGGAAGTTATGGATGAATTTAATTTACAACTACGTTAAAATGACATTATAAATATTAATAATATGGATCGAAATACATAGTGATTATAAATTAATGCTCATCGCATGAAAAATAATTTTTTCTTAAAAATAAAAAACATTACGTTAACACTCTTTATTCTGTTATTTCTAATTTAAATACGCTTTCAGATACACAAAATATATTTTGTGGACAGTACTGTGAGTACATAGATGCAGCAGAATGGAATTCAAAATTTATGTCCATAGACTTCTTTGCGATTGAAAAAAAAGCACTCATGTATTTCATAGCGTCCATGCAATTACTATTTATAACCATATTGAATTGTTCGTATCCGTCATCGATTTCAGGAAGCTTTGTCTCGGACCACTGCGAAAAGTCTTTTTTTTCATCCGGGGGAATATATTCGTCGACATTTATACTACCGTTGTTGTATATATTTTTTATCATAGAAATGAGAGAGTCAATGCGATTAGTGGGTTGAGGTTCATTCTGTGCGTCTGTATCGGTGTATAAAGGTAAATCGAGATATTTGTAAAATAATTCAGTCCCGTCTATATACCATCGAACACTATCTCGTATGTTTTGTAAAACTTGAAAACTGTCGCTACTACTAGTGCGATTCAAGTACATAAATATGATTTGCGCGTATCGATAAACGTACGTTTTCATCGTTCTGTCTAGATGGTATACAATCGTCTTGTGAAATTCCATGACGCTGAACGTATTCAATCCCCACGGTAAAATGGCATGATACGCCACTGATAAACTCATGGTTACGTCTCTGATTGTTATATCTTTTGATTTTAACTCGTTCATATCTACGTTTTCAGAATTTTCGGTAAGAAAATATTTACCGCTCAACCACTCGAACNGTTTGATGGTATCATAGATATCCGTTAAATAATTTAAGTACAACTTTGTACAGAGTTCATTATTTACAAAATGTTCATTTGTCATTTTCGGTACCTGATGTGTTGATTTAAATAAATTCCAACTCCAAATGTTTTTCACCGACTCGCTTACACAATCATTCAACTTGGCCTCAAAAACCTTCTTCTTAACTTCGGTGTTGGGAAATGGATTAGCACAACGGATATCAGTGTATCCCTTGAAGTCGCTGCAGAACGTTAAATACATGCTAAACATTATCGAGTCGTCGTTAAACTTATTAACGTTATTTAAAGTTATTTCTTTTAAATACATGAGAATTAAAGGGATATTCTGACACATACCCTTTAACATGTCTATAATATAGTTTGTCTTTTGTTTATTTTCGGTTTCTGATTGAAGTTCCTCTATATGACCGCTATCATCTATATCATCGTTATCATCGTTATCATCCATATTATCGTATTCTTCTTTATCATCTTTAACATCTTTAATATCGTTTAGCATAGAATGTGTACAATACTGTTGGAGTCTACTAAGTGTAAATAACAGTAATTTTTCCATAGCTTCGGCTGTCGAAAAATCGTCAACAAATTGTATTAAACCGCATTCTTCTTTTTGAAGTTTTTTTGCATAATCATTGTTGATTTCCTGAAAATGTATTGGTTTTTCAGAATTTCGTTGAATTTCATTGTCTCCGGTCCTAATTTCAGACACCTTAAATTGCATTTTGTTAGTTTGCGAATAACTTTCAAACATATCTTTCTCCTCTAAGCCGTGAATTAAATTCATATATGGTATTATATTATTATAACCCAAGATCACGTAAGCTACTGAAATAAAACCCATACTTTTATCCTCGTAATTTTGCACTTCCTCGAATAAGTTTGTACCAATATTTGTTTTTTTCTCAATCATTGATTGTATAGATATTAATATTCTGTCTATTTTTTCATTGATAAGTTTTTTTTCTATATCCGCAGTCGCATTCTCATATTCTTTATAATACGTTGGTAATTCGTGACAAAGAATGATATGAATTTCGCTCAACATAATTGTTATTGAATTTAATAAGACACCAATGTAGGTAAAATCCAAACATCTCGGGAGCATTGTACAAACCGTTCCTATAAAATCCTTGAGTTCAGTTTCATTTCTTTTTTCAAAAGCGTAGGCCATTTGCCGGAATATTAATACTAACTCTAATTCAAAAGTGATAAATTGTGTAGGTAAATTCCGGAAAATATCGAATTCACCTTGAACAATAGTTTTTGCTACTGTTATAAGATTATTAGGCTTTTGAAATGTCTCTACTATTAAATTAAACTCACTGTTATTTTTAGGCAATCGGACCATCGTTTTAATTTTATTTGGATTGTCTGGAACGATAGCATGCACTACAAACGTATAGAACAACAGTTTTAAAGCATAAAAGTTCATTGTGCACCGGTGTTTTAGGACTAAATAAAATATGACCCTATTCTGAATAGAAACATTTGTACTCGTATATACGTGTACCTGTCACTTTTAGTATGTTAGTAATATAGAACAATACTTTTTTAAACACTTGATTATATATAATATATTGATTTAAGAGCGCTTAGGCTTTTTGCTGTAAAATATATTAGATGATCACTTGACACGGCAAGACTTTTACGCACCTATATATTATAATAAAACTGTGTTTGCTGCTTAATTGACGCACGGTTAATTGACACATTCTTCTATTGGACTCAAACAGACCTGTTCCGATATTCACGTATATTAATACACAGACAAATATTCCTACATAAAATTAGATAAAATACAATTTGTAAACCGTAAAGCTAAATTAGAGGTTAATTAAATTAATCTGAATGATATAGCGTATTCCGTATGAGAGAAATGTAATTATATATTTCTTACGTTCTACATATTTTATATTTTGTTTCAGACAATAACAAGACTTAGGTAAAGTGTATTGTTTACGTATTATTATGCTTATTTTTTTTATAAGACTACTGTATACAAATCAATCATACCATGATTAAGTACAATAGAAAACAATTACATTCTCTATTTTCAATGTTTCTCCAGCACGCGTATCGCAAATATGATTTATTTCGTGTTTGGAGGGTGTACATGATTATATTAGTTGTACAAAACCAGCGGACAATGAACATTTACACATTAAATTGTTTGATTTTTATGTAAGTAGTGCATGTAATCTATAACTTTCTCAAATTTAATCAATTATGTAGATGTATATTTTTGTTTTTAACAGTCGAAGTTAAAATATTATACTTCGGATGTTTGTGATTATTTATTATAATATTTGTTGTTTATTTGGTCATCAAAAATAAGCGTTTTATAATTTTTACTGTACAGTGCGTTCACGCTAAAAGGTACCACTGAATTTTTCAGTTGGATGACCTAGTATAGAAATGGAATTTTCAGGGAATTTTAGAGAGTACCTATATATACATTTTTAGACTAATTAAAAATGTTTAACACTTTTGTTTCAAGCATGTGAAATACACTTTACTTATTTTTAAACCACTCATCGATCAGAAAAATGTAATACTATCATAAAAACAACAAAATCAAAGCATTAAAGTTCATTGTTTACTGATGTAGTAAGACTAGATAAAATGTATACTTATTTTGAAGAGAAACTTTTGCAACTCTCACGTACGTGTAGCCATTTCAGTTGGTATGATACTAGTAACATCGAAAAACACAATTTTTGTACACTTGATTAAATATTTGACATTGATTTAAGAGTGCGTATTCTTTGGACTCTTTGAAACTAAAACAGGTACACGTACATAAGAGTTACAAAAGTTTTATTTAGAATGGGAATACATTTTATCAAATCTCACATTACCAGTAGTGCATGTTATTGTTCAAGACATTCCAAAAAATGTTAAAACAGTGTTTAGATTGCTTAATAATACACTTGAGTATTATAAAACTGTAAATGGTTTTCAAACAAATTATAATCCCAAAGAGAAGGCAAAAATTATTACTGAGCATCAAATCAATGATTTCGGAAAAACACCCATAGGATTTGTCATTTTTAAAATCTATTTACTTCTAATATTACTTTACTTGCTGGTAAGGATAGGAGTGGCCCTGAAAAGGGCCGTTTTGATTTCGAACGCCTATGCATTCTAGCACCGGTGTTGGTAACATTAGTTCGCGATATTTATCCTGGTATAGACTCAAGTAACGCGATGCAGGGGACGCCACGTGCAGGCTCTTACCATGTCCCCCCGCGTTTGGCGTTAGCCTATGAAAATGCTATATCAATAGTCATCCACTGGATGAAGCAAAATATTTAACACATTTACATCCATATTTTACCTATTTTTAAGACAGTTTAACCACCGGATACGATAAGAAGAAGAAGACTTCTAATATTACAGCAGATGGTATTTAATAATGAAACGGAATTGAACTTATTTATGAGGACTGCATTTTAACGAGTTGTATATTGCTCTCGTGATGTTTGGATTATATCAATATTAATGAATCAGTAACTGTTATGTTGAACAAAATTCATACAGTCATTTGTTACACATTATCAAGGTATTATATAGAAAATATCATTGCATCATCGGTTGATATAGAGAAATAATTTTTTGATAGGAAAATTGGCAGAAATTCGGCATACATAATATTAATGATAAAAAATAAAACAAAAATTGGTAACTACTTGTTTGAGCAGCCGAACTACGAGAATAGTAGTAAGAATTTTATAGAAAAAGTTTAGAAGATTATTGGTAATAACGACTTTATACCATGTACGAGTAACCGTCTCTGTATACAAAAGTAAAATAATAATAAACATTATTCGCTTACTAACAAATTGAAATTCAAAGTGGCCAAAAAAGATCCAGAGACTTAGAGGTGACAAACAATGTTACGGATAGGTTACACAAAATATGTCAGAAAATATCTTTAATTCTTATCTATTTAAAAGAAAATAAGGTTAAGGACTCCAAAACTTTTACCTTGTATTTGATGTTTTGTGGAGACTTCAAGGGATACTTTAATATCCGTTGCATCAGTGCATTTCATGGCACTATGGGTTATAAATATGAATTTTTGAACGCTATGGACAAAGTGAATACTTAGTTTCGATCGCTGAGAAGTCTATGGACATAAATTCCGAATTCCATCCTCCTCCAATTACGTACACCGAATACTGTCCGGAAAATGTATTTAATGTTAAATCAGTAGAAAATCCTATGAACGTAGTTAGAGAGGAGCGAGAATATAATGAGGCTGGTTCTGACAGTATAGTCGTTGTTTCGAGTTCACCAAGGGGTTTTATAATCATTACGAATTGTTAGTTGGGTATACTTAAAATGCAATGAAAACATTTGTGTGAAAGTAATGTTGATATTTTCTTTATGAATTAAATAATTTTAATTTGTTTATCGTATGCATCCATATCTTCCTTACGTGTAATTATTACAATATTATAAATCTAATAGACGGTGTAAATATAATAAAATATATATTTTTTTAAATAGACAATGTCAAAATATTATACTAAGAATATTTGTAAACGACTACAAAATATTAATATAGTTGTTTTATTATTTTTTTTATTAACCGAATATGTAGTAATGAGAAATAAAAGGTTTATACTTTTGATTTGGAAAAAGGAGGAAGAAATATAATGGTACAGAAAAAGAACTTTTATAACTAATAAGGAAATTGAGAAAAATTTGATATACAAACATACATATATATATATATATATATATATATATAATATCAATGGTAGAGAATAAGACATAAATTGATAACAACTTGTTTGAGCTTCCAAACTACCAGAAATACAGTAAGAAATTTCATTTCAACGTTTACAAGATCATTAGCAATAACGAAATGATATTATGTATGAGTGAAAATCTCGGGAACCTAAAGTATTATTATACTGTAAACAATACGCTTTACAAAAAGAAATTGCAAAAGTTTAAGACCACAGGCAATAAAAATAAACAATTATTGGAAGACAAAACAGTTTCTTCAGAAGTCAACATAAATTATACAGATAGACATAAAAAGAAGAACGGTCTGACAAAATATGAAATTCAAACATATGATTTGTCAAACAAACGTGATACTCGATTTATGTCAGAAAATATCCTTAGAAAATATCTTTCATTCTTATCTATTTTTAAGAAAATAAGGTTAAAGATGACTCGAAAATGTTCAACTTGTATTTTACGCTCTGCTTCGAATTTAGGGAACACACCGATATACGTTGCATCAGTGCATTTTACAGTATTCCAGCTACTAAGTATGTCAAGGAAGAAAGAATAATTTGTATATGGGAGTCATTGATAAACCTTTGGACGTATAATATATTTATAAATACCACTCAAGTCCCAAAAATAAAAAAAAACGACAGGTATTTAAAATATGAAGATTGTATATACAATTACATAAACTGTCCAACGTTCCTCTATGATATCATCAAACAATTTGACAAAGAAATCGATGCATGGATCACGTTTAAGTGGTTGAGCGGTAAATATTGAATTACCAAAAGTTTCGAAAACGTAGGTATGAATGAATTAAAATATTATCAATATAGATATTATAAACGTTACTACATGTTTATCAGTTGTGTAATATGCTACATTACTGTGGGGTATGGACTAGTTCCCTGTAATTCTCTATAATATAAATCAACATCATTTAAACGGAACTATGAATACGTACGTTTACCGATAAGCGCAAATGATAAATTTGTACTTGACGCGCACAAGTAGCAGCGTCAATTTTTACGTTTTACAAAGCATAAGAAATAGTGTTCGGTGGTATACGGACGGGCCAGAGTTATTTACAATTATCTTAATTTACCTTTGTACACAGATAAAGACCCACAGAATGAGTCTTTACCACCTGTTAAAATAAGAACTAGTCATCCACCTGCGGGTCCACCGACTTGTTTTAGTTTTTACGTAGGTGCTAACAAGTTGGTGAGACCGGCTAAAACAACGTTATCCAAGTGGTTCCTGCACGTGCCAAATAGTTTTAATTAACTAATATGGAATGGTGTATTTCTTGGCTTCGTGCTTAGCGGTCCTACATTAGGAAACAAAGGTTAAAAAACGAATACACAGTTCTTACTAAAAATGGCGCCGGTTCGGCAATTTTGTAAACATCGTGATCGTTTTTAAATTCGATTATTGAACAAATGCATATAAATAAGATCGAAAATCATCATCGACCGTCAGGATTTCTATAATCGAAATATATTTTCGGATGTATTAGAATATTATATTGATAGCGCGTTTTAAATGTCCTGTAAAAATATCATATATAAGCTCAAAGTGATTAAAAATATGCCTATGGAAAAATGAGCTTTACTGTAGAATGCTCGTGAAAAACTACTCTAGGCGTTCGATGAAAATTACAGGTGTTAACGATTGTTTTTCACTGAATTAATCGTTGCAATCATGAAATCAATAATGAAATATATTAATTAACTATGCAAATCTATAATAATTCTTTCAATGATTTCTCGCGAGTTCTGCTCATGAATAGTGAAAAGTACAAAAAATATCAAAGATGACCGATACTAGTCTTCTGACCGACAGAGGGTTTAAAAACAATTTACATAAACACAAACAATTATCAAAAGGTATAATAAACAATTTATTAATACAATCCGTATCTAAAAAAAAAAAAACCTAATATTAGTGTAACGAATAAAATGCGTTTTATTGGAGAAAAAATCTATTATACCTAAAATTAAAACTAAATGTATAGTATTGAACGTATAAACCGCTTATTTTANTAACTAAAAAATATGTCAATAAAAGAAAAAAAAACCAATAATTTTATTTTTTAGTCAATTAAAATATCTGTAGTCTAATATTTTGACTGCGACTATTTAGATACATAGGTACAAATTTAGATCAAAAATTAGATTAAAAATATTGTAATTATATTAGAGGAAGATATAGAAGATATAAAAGATATAGAGTCAAATATCACTATGTTAAAATGACATTTTAAATATTAATAATAGGTATAGAAATAAATAGTGATTACAAATTAAGGCTCAGCACGGGAAAAATAATTTATTTATAAAAAAAAAAAATACATTACGTTGACACTTACTAATCTATTTTATTTAATTCAAATACACTATCAGAAACACAAAATATATTTTGTGGACAGCACTGTGAGTACAAAGTTGCAGCAGAATGGAATTCAAAATTTATGTCCATAGACTTCTTTGCGATTGAAAAAAAAGCACTCACGTAGTTCATAGCGTCCATGCAATTACTATTTATAACCTTATTGAATTGTTTTTATCCTTCATCGATTTTAGGAATCTTTGTCTCGGACCGCAGTGGAAAAGTCTTTTTGTTCATCCGAGGGAATAAATTCGTCGACATTTATACTACCGTTGTTGCCTACATTTTTATCATAGAAATGAGAGAGTCAATGCGATTTGTTGGTGGGGTTAATTCTGTGCGTCATTCTTGGTGTATAAAGGTAATTCGAGATATTTGTCAAATAATTTTGTCCCGTCTAAGTAGCACAAAACACTGTCTCGTATGTTTTGGAAAACTTGAAAACCGACGCCAATACCAGTACGCTTCAAGTACATAAATAAGATTTGCGCGTATCGGTACACGTACGTATTCATCGTTCTGACTAGATGGTATACAATCGTCATGTGAAATTGCATGACCCTGAACGTATTTAAGTTCCACGGTAGTATGGCATAATACGCTACTGATAAACTGATAGTTACGTCTCGGTAAATTATATTTTTTGATTTTAACTCGTTCATATCTACGTTTTCAGAATTTTCAGTAAGAAAATATTTACCGCTTAACCACTCGAACGTGGTCCATACGCCCAAAGTTTTTCCTTTGTAAAATTGTTTGATGATGTAATGGATATCTGTTAGTTATTTCAAGTACAACTTTATACAGATTTCATTGGTTAAATAATTTTCATCTGTAATTTTCGGTACCTGTTTGGGTATTTTATATACATTCCAACCCCAAATGTTCTTCATCGACCCACTAATACAATTATACGCCTTGCCCTACAAAATATTCACCTATGCTACAGTATCGAGAAATGGACTAGTGCAACGAACATCACTGTATCCTTTGTAGTCGCCGCAGAACGTCAAATACATGCTAAATTCTATTGAGTGGTCGTTAAACTTATTAACGTTATTTAAACTTATTTCTTTGTTTTTGTGCATAGTTTCAGTTGCCGAAAAATCGTCATCAAATAGTATTAACCAAGTTATTCTATTTTTTGAAGTTCGTTTGAAAATGTTTTGATTTGCAGAAAATGCATTGGATCTACGGAATGTTGTTGAATTTCATTGCCTCTGGTACTTATTTCAGGCACCTCAAATGTTTTTTTGATAATTTGGGAAACATTTTTATTAATATCATTCTTTTTTAAGCCATGAAATTTATCCATATATGGTATCATATAATTAGAACCGAGGATCATGTATGCTTCTGAAATCAAAAATACACTTTTGTTCTCAAAACACTACTCTTCCTCAAATGATTTGGTATTAAGTTTTGTTTGATTTTCTATCGTTGATTGTAGAGATGTTAAAATTTTATCAATTTTTTTATTAACAATTTTTTTCCGTATCATCCGTGCTCGCATTTTTATATTTCATATAATACGTTGGTAATTCGTGAAAAAGAATTTTTATTTCCTATTTAAAACACGTAGGTCATTTGTCGCAATATTAAAAGTAACTCCATTTCAAATAAAATGTATTCTCTAGGTACATTCAAAAAGACATCTGTATCATTTCGGAGTATATTTTTTGCTCTGTTAATAAGATTAAAAGGCTTTTCAAATTTGTTCACATTTGTTGCGAACTGACCTATATAATTAGGAAATCTGTCCATTGGTGAAACTTTTTTTGGAATGTCTGGAACAATAACTTGCACTATAATCAAATAAAACAACAGTTTTAAGGTACGCTTATGTATTAGGACTAGATAAAATGTGTAACTGTTCGGAATAGAAAATTTTGTAACTCGTATACTGGTGTACCCGTTTCAACTAGTATGATACTATTAAAATCGAAAAATATTTTTGTTGAACACCTGGTTAAATACATTATATTAACGTACACATTAACTGTTTAATAAAATAAGGAATATCGGGAACGTAGAAAAATTATTTATATATCAATCGACACAGGCTGAATTTAATGCTCATAAATCATTGTAAGTTAGTTATAAGTACTAGCATTAAAATGTTAAAATTATACTAACCGCCATGGTTTTATTTATATACGTATTGCGAGAGTTTCTTTTCGGTATAGGTACTTAAACATTTTAACACTGTAAATCATTAACGCTCTTAAATCAATATTATATAAATAGTAAGGCGTTGCAATAAGTTTTGTTCGATTATCCCAGTATCGTAAAAACAATATTGGATACAGGAATATGCGAGTTATATAGATTCTTTTTACAATAGATACACATTTTATCACATCCCACAACATAAGTGTACAATGAATTTTAATGCATTAAAATTGTTGTTTTATACGTTAATAGTGCATACTATTAATCCAGATATTCCAAAAAATATTACAGCAATTCTCGGATGGCCTTCGAATACAAGTAAGTTTAATAAAACAGTATACGGTTTTCAAAGAGAATATAATCTCAAAAAAGTCACAGAAAATATAACTCAGGATCAAGGCGATGACTTCGGACGTGTACCTAATGAATTTATCGCTTTTCAAATAGATTTACTACTAATATTACAGCAGATGGCCTACGTGTTCAATAAAAGAAACCAAAGTGGACTCACGTACAATGAATATTTTGTAACTGTTTGTTCATTGCTCCCGAGATGTTTAGACTATATAAATATTAATGTCTTTCAAAATTCAATAACTGTAATGTTAAACAAAATGCATATAGTTCTTTGTCAAATATTGCCTACGTATTATTTAAAAATTATCAATTCGTCACGGAAGGATACAGAGAAAGAAGTTATTTTTAAGGAAATTGAGAGAAATTTGATATATATAATATCAATGTTAGAGAATAAAACCAAAATTAGTAACAACTTGTTTGAGCTTCAAAACTACCAGAAGGACAGTAAGAATTTTCTTTTCGCAGTTTACAATATCATTGGTAAAATCGATATGATATCATGTATGAGAAAAAAACTCGAAAGCCTAAATTATTATTATACCGTTCAAAAAACGCTTAACGAAAAGAAATTACAAAAGGTCGATAACAGAAACAATAAAAATATACAATTTTTAGAAAACGAAAAAGTTTTTTTGGATGTGAACATGAATTATAGGGATAGACTTAAAAAAAAATGTGGTCTATCAAATTATGAAATTCGAACAGATGATTTGTCTAAGTTTGATGCAATGCATGACTTATTTGTTTATACAATAAATAGACTCCAACAATTCTTTTCAAATACCATATTAAGCACTCAAAAAAAAAATTCACGAATAACTGAAAAAGACCTAGTAGATACCGGCAAAATAACAAAAATGATACTCGAATCATGTCAAAGTATATCTTACATTCTTGTTTTCTTTAAAGCAAATAAGTTTAAAGATGACTTGAAAATATTCAACGTGTATTTTATGTTCTGCTTCGACTTTACGGAATACGCCAATACGCGTTGCATCAGTGCATTTCACGGTACCCCACATGCTAAGCATTTCAAGGAAGAGAGAGTGAATTGTTTATGGGAGTCGGTGAAAAACCTTTGGACGTATAATATATTCGTTACAACCACTNTCTATGATAGCATCAAACTATATGACAAAGAAATTGGCGTATGGACCACATATAGGTGGTTGAGCGGTAAATATTTTCTTACCGAAAATTTTGAAAACGTAAATATGAATGAGTTAAAATTGAAAAATATAAATATTAAAAACGTTACTATAAGTTTATCAGTTGCGTATCATGCTATATTACCGTGGCATTTGAACACGTTTCCAGTAGGCCTTCTCCATAATATGATATTACAGCATCTAGACAGAACGATGAATATGTACGTTTACCGATACGCGCTGATTATAGATTTGTATTTGAAGCGCACAAGTAGCAGAGTCAATTCTCACATTTTACAAAGCATACGAGATAGTGTTCGGTGGTATACGGACGGGACAGAATTGTTTTACAAATATCTTGATTTACCTTTGTTCACTGATAAAGACCCACAGAGTGAATCCTTACCATCTTTTGAAATAAAAACTATCATTTCTAGAATAAAACATCTAGATGATAACGGTAAAATAAGTATCAACGACGTCATTCCTAAAGACGTACAAGCCGATTTATTGAAGTGGTCCGAAACCGAACTTCCAGACAACGAAGACGAAAACCATCGATTCAACACAGCTATAAATACGAATTGCATGGACGCTATGGACTACATGAGTACATTCATTTCGATCGCAGTGAAGTCTTTGGACATCAAATCTGAATTCTATCCTCCTTCTATTACGTACACTAAATATTGTCCGGAAGATATATTTAATGTTAAACCTGTCGAACAACCTAAAAGGGTATTTAAACTTAGTACTTATTTTATTTTTTAGAATTTATACTTATCTTTAGTTACGAGCTTAAATCTTTATTCACTGCGTATTTTCATATAAATTATTAACATTTTGAATGTCTTGTATACCTGATTATTGTTTGCATCTATATCTTCCACAAATGTAATGTTATATCTTGATAAATCTAATGAACGACGAAAAATGTATGTAAATGTATGTATTTTTTTTAATTTACCAATGTCAGGATATCACATAACGAAAATTTGGAAAGGACTACAAAAGACTAACGTCGTTTTTTTTTATTATTATTTAGTTATGTAGTAGTGAGACGTAAACGGTTTATACTTTAATTGATATGTATTTACTTTTTAGGTTAGGTTTTTTTATTTCATCCAAATAAACGCACTACATTCGTAACACCAATATTTAGTTACTTCTTATCTAGGTAATAAACGTAGTAACAAATGTTTTACAATACTATTACGATAATTGTTTGTGTATATTTATTTTTGATAAATCGCTCATTGATTTTAGAAAAATGTTTCTTTTTTTCCGTTTTCCAAACGAGTATTCAGTAGAAATTTAATAAAACCACCTACGATTTCCATCGAATACCCATGTTTTAACATTAATTAAACCATAAATAGTACTTGAATTTAGTGATAATTACTGTTTTCATCGAAACCGGGCGAAAATGATATATTTTTAGGGTAGATTTAATCAAAATACACTAATTGCATTTCAAGTAACCCGGATGACTTATTTTACTTTTGTAAAAATTGTTACCGTGCCTTTCGGTGTTATTGAATCGTCATGCGCAAATGATTATTACATTTTTATTATACAGTTTATTTGTAGTTATATAATCTGTCATGGTATTTACAATTTGCGTATGAGGGCTTAGGTATACTGTATTAACGTGATGTAATGTGGAATGAAGCTACCGAGCATTAACACTCGAAGTGCTATTACATTGAATTTATAAATAAATGCAACGTAGTAAATCGTGTTCGTCGCCATCGTCTTCAAAACACATTTGAAAAACACTTTTATGAGCTCGTTACAATCTGTAATATAAGTTAAAGCAAACCACTAGAATGTATTAGAAAATCGACAAGAGATAACAAAAANTAACCGCGGCATTCGGACGAGTTCGGGTGATTAGAACTTCATCGTGATTAGGCGGCGAATGCGCACAAGCGGATCCGACGAACTTTCGTATCCCGGGTCGGCCGTGCGGATTATGATCCAGGTTTGTTATCATGATTGTCATTGTCCGGGCTTACATTCAAAATGCAACGCGACCCGTTTGAGGCCGACGGCGACCCTAGAGCGCGGCATCTGGCCTTTCCTCTCGCGCGGGCGCGCACGACGGAAACGGTTGTCGCTGTTCCCCGTCCGCTGCGCCGTCCCCGCACGTGTTTTTCACGGACCCGAGAAGTTTGCGGATCCGTCGTGCCCGTCGGCCCGGCGAGTTGTCGCGCTTCGCGTCGGACAGCCGACACCGTCAACGTTGGAAAATAAATTTAAACAAAAAGAAATTATCAAAAATACAGTAAAAAGTTTATTAATACAATCCGTATCTAAAATAAAAAAAAAAACCTAATATTAGTGTTATGAATACAATCCGTTTTATTGGACAAAGAATTAATAAAACCTAAAATTAAAACTAATTATATAATATGGGAGATATAGAAAGCTTATTTTAATAACAATAAAATAGGTGAACCAAAAAAAAAAAATCATAATTATATTTCTAGTCAAATAAAAATATCTGTAGTATAATATTTTGACTGCGACTATTTAGATATACACGCATAGCATTAAATCAGCTATCGGATTAAAAAAACTGTAATAACATAAAAAAAAGATATAGACTCGACTAGCACTACGTAAAAATGAAATTATAAATATTGATATTATGTATAGAAATAATTAGTGATTAGAAAATGACGCTCAGCGCGGGCAAAATAATTTATTTATAAAAAATAAAAAAACATTACGTTGATACTTACTTATCTATTATATCTAATTCAAGTACACTATCAGATACTCAAAATATATTTTGTGGACAGTACTGTGAGTACAAAGGTGTATCAGAATGGAATTCAAAATTTATAACTAAAGACTTCTTTGCGATTGAAAAAAAAGCACTCATGTAGTTCATAGCGTCCATGCAATTACTATTTATAACCTTATTGAATTGTTTGTTTCCGTCATCGATTTCAGGAAGTTTTGTCTCGGACCACTGCGAAAAGTCTTTTTGTTCATCCGGGGGAATATATTCGTCGACATTTACACTACCGTTGTTGTATTTATTTTTTATCATAGATATGAGAGAGTCAATGCGATTAGTTGGTGGGGGTTCATTCTGTGCGTCTGTATCGGTGTATAAAGGTAATTCGAGATATTTGTAAAATAATTCTGTCTCATAAACTTGAATACCGACGCTACTACCAGTGCTCTTCAAGTACATAAATATGATTTTCGCATATTGATAAACGTGTGTATTCATCGTTCTTTCTATATGGTAAACAATCGTCTGAACTGAACGAATTAAAACCCCACAGTAATATGGCATTATACGCCGTTGATAAACTCATAGTTACGTCTCAGACAATTAGAATTTTCGATTTTAACTCGTTCGTATCTACTTTTTCAGAATTTTTGGTAGGAAAATATTTACCGCTCAACCACTCGAACGTAGTCCATAGGCCCATAGTTTTCCTTCGTAAAATTTTATGATGGTTTAATGGATATCCGTTATGTAATTCGAGTACAACTTTATACAGAGTTCGATATTTACATAATTTCAATTTTTTTTTTTCGGTACGTGATTGCTTAAGTGAAATGAATTCCAACTTCAACGTTTTTCACCGTATCGTTTACACAATTATATGCCTATATATTTTATATATATTATTTGTCTTGTCCTCCAAACCCGCAGGGTAATGTGTGCCGGGAAATAGACTAGTGCAACGGAAATCAGTGTATACATTGTAGTCGCCGCAGAATGTCAAATACATGCTAAATTCTATCGAGTCGTCGTCAAACTTATTAACGTTATTTAAACATATTTCTTTTAAATACATGAAAATTAAAGGGATATTCTGAAACATACCCTGTAATATGTCCATAATATAATTCGTCTCGTCGTCGGTTGTTTTCGTAATTTCCTCTATATCATCCTTAAACATAAAATATGTCCAATACCGTAGGAGTCTATTAAGTGTAAACAACAGAGTTTTTTGAATAGTGAAACTATCTTTTTTAAAGATGCTGAAAAATCGTCATCAAATTGTATTTAACCACATTCTTTATTTTAAGGTTCGTTTGCATAATTTTTTTTTGATTTGCAGAAAATGCATTGGATCTACGGAATGTTGTTGAATTTCATTGCCTCAGATACTTATTTCAGGCACCTTGAGTGTTTCGTTGTTAATTTTGAGAAAGTTTATATTAATATCTTTCTTTTTTAAGCCATGAAATACATCCATATATTGTATCATATCATTATAACCTGGAATCAAATATGCTTCTAAAATAAAAAAACTGCTGCATCTCAAATGATTTGGTACTAATTTTCGTTTGAATTTCTATCGTTGATTGTAGAGATGTTAAAACTTTATCCAGATTTCATTAACAAGTTTTTTTTCCGTATCGTCCGGGCTCGCATTTGTAAATTTCATATAACACGTTGGTAATGTGTGACAAATTATGATATGAATCTCGCTCAATATAATTGTTATTAAATTCGAGAAGACACCAATATGAGTAAAATCCAAACATCTGGGGAGCATTGTACAAACCGTTCCTATAAAGTCGTTGATTTAAGTTTCATTTTTTTTTTATTTTAAACACGTTTAATGCAATATTAAAAGTAACTCGATTTCAAATGTGATATATTCTTTAGGAACGTTCAAAAAGACATCGTAATGATTTCGAAGAAAAGTTACTGCTGTTTTCGTAAGAATATAAGTCTTTAAAAATGTGTTCACATTTGTAACGTACTGACCTTTGTAATTAGGAAATCTGTACATTGGTGAAACTTTTTTTGGAAAGTCTAGAACAATAACATGCACCACATCCGTGTAGAATAACAGTTTTAAGGCATTAATGTTCATTGTACAGATGTGTAGTAGGACTAGATAATAGGTGTATCTGTTCGGAAAAGAATATTTTGTAACTCGTTTATACGTGTACAAGTTTCAATTAGTATGATACTATTAGCATCGAATATTACTTTTGTTGAACACTTGGTTAAATACATTATATTGACATACACATTAACTGTATAATAACATAAAGAATATCGGGAACGTAGAAAAATTATTTATTTATCACTCGACACAGAGTGATTTCAATGCTCATAAATCATTATAAAATAGTTATAAGTACTAGCATTATAATGTTAGTATTATACTAACTGCCATGGTTTTATTTATATACGTATTGCGAGAGTTTCTTTTCGGGAAAGGTACCTAAAAATTTTAACACTGTATAGCATTAACGCTCTTAAATCAATATTATATAAATAGTAAGGCGTTGCAATAAATTTTGTTCNAAGTGTACAATGAATTTAAATGCATTAAAATTGTTGTTTTATACATTAGTAGTGCATATTATTAATCCAGATATTCCAAATAGGGGTACAGCAATTCTCGGATGGCCTTCGAATAGAAGTAAGTTTAATAAAACAGTATACGATTTTCAAACGGAATATAATCTCAAAAAAGTCACAGAAAATATAACTCGGGATCAAGGTGATGACTTCGGACATGTACCTGATGAATTTATCGCTTTTCAAATAGATTTATTTCTTATATTACAGCAGATGGCCTACGTGCTCAATAAAAGAAACGGAACTGGACTCACGTACAATGAATATTTTGTAACTGTTTGTTCATTGCTCCCGAGATGTTTGGACTATATCAATATTAATGTCTTTCAGAATTCAATAACCGTATTGTTAAACAAAATGCATATAGTTCTTTGTCAAACATTGCCTACGCATTATTTAAAAACTATCAATTCGTCACGGAAGGATACAGAGAAAGAAGTGATTTATAAGGAAATTGAGAGAAATTTGATATATTTAATATCAATGTTGGAGGATAAAACAAAAATTAATAACAACTTGTTTGAGCTTCTAAATTACCAGAAGGACAGTAAGAATTTTCTTTTCGAAGTTTACGGTATCATTGGTAAAATCGATAAGATATCATGTATGAGTAAAAAACTAGAAAGCCTAAATTATTATTATACCGTACAAAAAACGCTTAACGAAAAGAAATTACAAAAGGACGATAACAGAAACAATAAAAATATACAATTTTTAGAAAACGAAAAAGTTTTTTTGGATGTGAACATAAATTATACAAATATACTTGAGAAAAAATGCGGTTTGTCAAAATATAAAATTCGAACAAATGATTTGTCTAAGTTCGATGCAATGCACGAATTATTTGTTTTTACATTAAATAATCTCCAACAATTTTTTACAAATAGTATATTAAGCACTCAAAATGAAAATTCTCGAATAACTGAAAATGTCCTGGAAGAGACAGGCATAATAACAAAAATGATACTCGATTTATGTCAGAGTATCTCTTACATTCTTGTTTTTTTTAAAGAAAATAAGTTTAAAGACGACCCGAAAATGTTCAACGTTTATTTTACGTTCTGCTTCGACTTTACGGAATACGCCAATACGCGTTGCATCAGTGCTTTTCACAGTACTCTAGATGCTATCCATTTCAAGGAGGAGAGATCAAATTGCTTATGGGAGTCGTTGATAAACATTTGGACGTATAATATATTCGTAACAACCACTGAGGTCCCGAAAATAAAAATCGACAAGTATTTAAGGAATAAAGATTGTATATACTATTACAGGAACTATATAACGACCCTCTATGATAGCATCAAACAATATGACAAAGAAATTGGCGTATGGACCACGTTTCGGTGGTTGAGCGGTAAATATTTTCTTACCGAAAATTTCGAAAACGTAAATATGAATGAGTTAAAATTGAAAAATATAAATATTAAAAACGTTACTATAAGTTTATCAGTTGCGTATCATGCTATATTACCATGGNTATTTTATGTTCTGCTTCGACTTTACGGAATACGCCAATACGCGTTGCATCAGTGCATTTCACGGTACCCCACATGCTAAGCATTTCAAGGAAGAGAGAGTGAATTGTTTATGGGAGTCGTTGAAAAACCTTTGGACGTATAATATATTCGTTACAACCACTCAGGTCCCGAAAATAAAAAACGACAAGTATTTAAGAAATAAAGATTGTATATACTATTACAGGAGCTATCTAACGACCCTCTATGATAGCATCAAACTATATGACAAAGAAATTGGCGTATGGACCACATATAGGTGGTTGAGCGGTAAATATTTTCTTACCGAAAATTTTGAAAACGTAAATATGAATGAGTTAAAATTGAAAAATATAAATATTAAAAACGTTACTATAAGTTTATCAGTTGCGTATCATGCTATATTACCATGGCATTTGAACACGTTTCCAGTAGGCCTTCTCCATAATATGATATTACAGCATCTAGACAGAACGATGAATACGTACGTTTACCGATACGCGCTAATTATAGATTTGTATTTGAAGCGCACAAGTAGCAGAGTCAATTCTCACATTTTACAAAGCATACGAGATAGTGTTCGGTGGTATACGGAAGGGACAGAATTGTTTTACAAATATCTTGATTTACCTTTGTACACTGATAAAGACCCACAGAATGAGCCTTTACCACCTGTTGAAATGAGTACTATCATTTTAAGAATAAAACATCTAGATGATAACGGTAAAATAAATGTTGACGACATCATTCCTAAAGACGCAAAAGACGATTTTTTGAAGTGGTCCGAAACCGAACTTCCAAACAACGATGACGAAAACCATCAATTCAACACGGCTATAAATACGAATTGCATGGACGCTATGGACTACATGAGTACATTCATTTCGATCGCAGTGAATTCTTTAGACATAAAATCCGAATTCTATCCTCCTTCTATTACGTACACCGAATACTGTCCGAAAAATATATTTAATGTTAAACCTGTCGAACACACCCAAAAGGGTATTTAAACTTAGTACTTATTTTATTTTTTAAGAATTTATACTTATTTTTAGTTACGGGCTTAAGTCTGTATTCACTGCGTATTTTCATATAAACTATTAACATTTTGAATGTCTTGTAAACCTAAATATTGTTTGCATCTATATCTTCCACAAATGTAATATTATATCTTGATAAATCTAATGAACGACGAAAAATGTATGTAAATGTATGTAATTTTTTTAATTAACCAATGTCTTGATATCGGACAGCCGACACCGTCAACGTTACCGGTGAAACACACTCAGCGACGTCATCCGCGCTCGCGCGTCTTGTCGGCCGGGTTACTTTCGATTTCAGCACGTCCGCGCCGGCGGATCAATGAACCCAATCCACGTTAGTTGTTCTCTTTCACCGTTGCCGAGTACCTGCGGTCTACGTCGTACGTTATTCTTATNGTTCACGTGTGTATATATTAATTTTCCATGTATTTATTTTTCGCGTACAATACGCATACATTCTCAATTACCGACATCCTTCGTTCCCATTATTTTTTACTCGGTCGCCTGGTCACCCGTCCCCGTTTTCCACAGGCGGGTCTACCGACGCAACCGGCTAATCCACTAGGTTTAGTTTTTCCGTAAGCCCTAACAGAAGTAGTTGGTGAAACCGGCATTTAGCTTCTAAACTACGTTATCCGAGTGGTTTTTGTGCGTGCGAAATAGTTCCAACTAACTAATATAGAATGGTGTATTTCGTGACTTTGTGATTAGCGGTCCTACATTCGAAAACAAAGGATACAAACGAATACACAGTTCTTACTAAATAATGGCGCCGGTTCGGCAATTTTTTAAACATCGTGATCGTTTTTAATTTCGATTATTGAACAAATGCATATAAATAAGATCTAAAATCTTCATCGACCATCAGGATTTCTATAATTGAAATATATTTTCGGATGTACTGGAATAACTTATTGATAGCGCGTTTTAAAAGCCCGGTAAAAATATCATATAGAAGCTCAAAGTGATTAAAAATTTATGCCTATCGCATTATGAGTGTTTTATATTACAATTATTTCTAAGGAAAAATTAAACAAGCCGTTTCAACGTGGTTTTGCCCAGCTTATATTAATAATCAGATCTTTGCTGTAGAATGCTCGTATAAAACTACTTTAATCGTTCGATGAAAATTACAGTTGTTAACGATTATTTTTCACTGAATTAATCGTTGCAATCGTTAAATCAAAAATGCAATATAAAAATTAAATACGCAAAATGGTTAACGTTCTTTCAATGATTTCTAGTGAGTTCTGACTTGAATAGAGGAAAAGTACAACAAATATCAAAAATGACCGATACCTTCCTGATCGATAGAAGATTTACCGAAAATAAATATAAATAAAAAAAATTATCGAAAATACAGTAAACAACTTATTAATACAATCCGTAACTAAAATAAAAAATAAAACCTAATATTAGTGTTATGAATAAAATGAGTTTTATTGGAGAAAAAAACTATAAAACCTAAAATTAAAACTAAATGTATAATATTGAACGTATAAACCGCTTATTTTAATAACTATAAAATATGTCAATAAAAGAAAAAAAAACCAATAATTTTATTTTTTAGTCAATTAAAATATCTGTAGTCTAATATTTTGACTGCGACTATTTAGATACATACGTATAAATTTAGAACAAAAATTAGATTAAAAATATTGTAATTATATTAGAGGAAAATATAGAAGATATAAAAGATATAGAGTCAAATATCACTATGTTAAAATGATATTTTAAATATTAACAATATGTATAGGAATAAATAGTGATTACAAATTAAAGCTCAGCCCGGGAAAAATAAATAATTTATAAAAAAAAAAAAAAAACATTACGTTGACACTTACTAATCTATTTTATCTAATTCAAATTCACTATCAGAAACACAAAATATATTTTGTGGACAGCACTGTGAGTACAAAGTTGCAGCAGAATGGAATTCAAAATTTATGTCCATAGACTTCTTTGCGATTGAAAAAAAAGCACTCACGTAGTTCATAGCGTCCATAAAATTACTATTTATAACCTTATTGAATTTTTTTATCCTTCATCGATTTTAGGAAGCTTTGTCTCGGACCACTGCGAAAAGTCTTTTTGTTCATCCGGGGGAATTAATTCGTCGACCTTTACACTACCATTGTTGTCTATGTTTTTTATTTTGGAAATGAGAGTCAATGCGATAAGTTGGTGGGGGTTCATTATGTGCTTCTGTATTTGTGTATAAAGGTAATTCAAGATATTTGTAAAATAATTCGGTCCCGTCTATATACTACCGAACACTATCTCGTATATTTTGTAAAACTTGAAAACCGACGCCAATACCAGTACGCTTCAAGTACATAAATAAGATTCGCGCGTATCGGTACACCTACGTTCTCATCGTTCTGACTAGATGGTATACAATCGTCATGTGAAATTGCATGAGCTTGAACGTATTTAAGCCCCATGAAACTATGGCATAATACGCTACTGATAAACTTATAGTTACGTCTCGGTAAAATTTATTTTTTGATTTTAATTCTTTCATATCTACGTTTTCAGAATTTTCGGTAGGTAAATATTTACCGCTCAACCACTCAAAATAATAAGTAAAATAGTTTCTCCTCTTTCAATAAGATTATAAGGCTTTTCAAATTTGTTCACATTTGTTAAGAACTGACCTTTATAATTAGGAAATCTGTACATTGGTGAAACTTTTTTTGTAATGTCTGGAACAATAACTTGCACCAAAATCAAATAAAACAACAGTTTTAAAGTATTAAAGTCCATCGTACGCTTGTGTATTAGGACTAGATAAAATGTTTAACAATTCGGAATAGAATATTTTCTAACTCGTATACTCGTGTACCCGTTTCAATTAGTATGGTACTATTAAAATCGAACAATATTTTGGTTGAACACCTGAATAAATACATTATATTAACATACACATTAACTGTATTATAGCATAAAGAATATCGGGGACGTAAAATATTATTTATTTATCACTCGACACAGACTGATTTTAATACTCATAAATCATTATAAGTTTGTTATAAGTATTATTATTATTATGTTAGTATTATACTAACTGCCATGGTTTTATTTATATACGTATTGCGAGAGTTTCTTTTCGGGAAAGGTACCTAAACGTTTTAACACTGTAAAGCACTAACGCTCTTAAATCAATATTATATAGATAGTAATGCGTTCTAATAAATTTTATTCGATTATCCTAGTATCATAAAAACAGAAACGGATACAGGAATATACTAGTTATAAAAGTTTCTATTCAGAGTAGGTACACATTTTTTCACATCCCACAACATAAGTGTACAATGAATTTTAATGTTTTAAAATTGTTGTTTTATACGTTAGTAGTGAATGTTATTAATCCAGATATTCCAAATAATATTACAGCAATTTTAAAATGGCCTTCTTATAGAGATAATTTAAATAAAAAAGTAAATGATTTTCAAAGGAAATATAATCTCGAGAAAGGTGCAGAACAGATAACTCAGGATCAAGACGATGGGTTCGGAGAAGTACCTAATTTATTTATCACTTTTCAAATAGACTTACTTTTAATATTACAGCAGATGGCTTACGTGCTCAATGAAAGAAACCGAACTGGATTCACGTACAATGAATATTTTGTAACTGTTTGTTCATTGCTCCCGAGATGTCTAGACTATATCAATATGAATGTCTTTCAGAATTCAATAACCGTAATGTTAAACAAAATGCATATAGTTCTTTGTCAAACATTGCCTACGTATTATTTAAAAATTATCAATTCGTCACGTAAGAATACAGAGAAAGAAGTGATTTATAAGGAAATTGAGAGAAATTTGATATTATATATATCAATGTTAGCGAACAAAACAAAAATTTATAACAAATTGTTTGAGCTTCAAAATTACCAGAAAGACAGTAAGAAATTTCTTTTCAAAGTTTACAGTATCATTGGTAAAATCGATATGGTATCATCAATAAATAATAATCTCAGTTTAAAAAACTTAATGAATTATGTTGCGGCACAGAAGACGTTTAACAAAAACAAATTACAAAAGATTGATGCCAGAGACAATAGGAATAAACAATTATTAGAAAACAGAAAAGTTTTTTTAGATGTGAACATAAATTATACGGATAGACTCGAGAAAAAATGCGGTTTGTCAAAAAATGAAATTCGAACAAATGATTTATCTAAGTTCGATGCAATGTACGAATTATTTGTATATACATTAAATAATCTCCAACAATTTTTTACAAATACCATATTAAGCACTCAAAAGAAAAATTCACAAATAACTGAAAATGTCCTGGTAGAGACAGACACAACAACCGAAATAATACTCGAATTATGTCAGAGTATTTCTTACGTTCTTGTATTTTTTAAAGAAAATAAGTTTAAAGACGACCCGAAAATGTTCAACGTTTATTTTACATTCTGCTTCGACTTTACGGAATACGCCAATACGCGTTGCATCAGTGCATTTCACAATACACCAGCTGCTGAGCAATTCAAGAAACAGAGGATAAATTGTTTATGGGAGTCGTTGAAAAACCTTTGGATGTATAATATATTCGTAACAACCACTCAGGTCCCGAAAATAGAAAACGACAAGTATTTAAGAGATAAAGAATGTATATACTATTACAAGAACTATCTAATGACCCTCCACGATAGCATCAAACAATATGACAAAGAAATTGGCGTATGGACCACTTTTCAGTGGTTGAGCGGTAAATATTTTCTTACAGAAAATTTCGAAAAAGTAGATATGAATGAGTTAAAATTGAAAAATATAAATATTAAAAACGTTACTATGAGTTTATCAGTTGCGTATCATGCTATATTACCGTGGCATTTGTACACGTTTCCTGTTGGCCTTCTCCATAATATGATATTACACTATCTAAACAGAACAATGAATACGTACGTATATCGATACGCTCTAATTATTGATTTGTATTTGAAGCGCACATGGAGCAGAGTCAATTCTCACGTTTTACAAAGCATACGAGATAGTGTTCTGTGGTATACGGGCGGGACAGAAATATTTTACAAATATCTTAATTTACCATTGTACACTGATAGAGACCCACAGAATGAGTCTTTACCACCTGTTGANCTACGATAGCATCAGACAATATGACAAAGAAATTGGCGTATGGACCACGTTTCAGTGGTTGAGCGGTAAATATTTTCTTACCGAAAATTTCGAAAACGTAAAAATGAATGAGTTAAAATTGAAAAATATAAATATTAAAAACGTTACTATGAGTTTATCAGTCGCGTATCATTCTATATTACCGTGGCATTTGAACACGTTTCCTGTAGGCTTTCTCCATAGTATGATATTACACTATCTAAACAAAACGATGAATACGTACGTTTACAGATACGCGCTAATTATAGATTTGTACTTAAAGCGCACAAGTAGCAGAGTCAATTCTCACGTTTTACAAAGCATACGAGATAGTGTTCGGTGGTATACGGACGGGACAGAATGTTTTTACAAATATCTTGATTTACCTTTGTTCACTGATAATGACCCACAGAATGAGTCTTTACCACCTGTTGAAATAAAAACTATCATTTCTAAAATAAAATATATGGATGATAATGGTAAAATAAATGTTTACGACATCATTCCTATGGACGCAAAAGACGATTTTCTGAAGTGGTCCGAAACCGAACTTCCCGATAAAGATGACGAGTACCATCAATTCAACACGGTTATAAATAAGAATTGCATTGACGCTATGGACTACATGAATACTTTCCTTTCGATCGCAATGAAGTCTTTGGACATAAAATCCGAATTCTATCCTCCTCCAATTACGTACACCGAATACTGCCCGGAAAATATATTTAATGTTAATCGGTCAAAAAACCTATAAGAATAAATGAATGTAGAACTTTTTTTCTTTTTTAAGAATTTAATTTGTATTTAGCTATGGACATAAGTTTGTATTCACTACGTATTTTCATATAAATGATTAACATTTTTAATATCTCTTAAAACTGATTTCTAAATGCATCCATATCGTCCTAAAATGTAATGTAACTCTCACAAAAGGAAAATCAAACATAAATACTGATGCTTCCATTAAAAACACGTTTGATATTATTGATAAAATGAATAAAATAAATATTGTGGCACTTCACAAAATGATTTATCTTGACGTCAAAAATGTATATCCGTCCATTCCTAAACACGAAACAGTAATTTTTTAAAAAATAAATTTATACATTTTAATTAATTTAATACAAACAAAGTACAAAAAATCAAGATGAACTCATGGTTATCTATAATATAACCCTTATAATATAAGTCTTTGGACATAAAATTCGAATTTTATCCTCCTCAAATTACGTACACCGAATAATTTACGGAAAATATATTTAATGTTAATCAGTTGAAAATCCTATAGGGAATTTTAAATCAAGTACTTTTTTTTTTGTTTAAGAATTTTAACGTAATTTTAGCTAATGGCATAAATTTGTATTCACTACGTATTATAATATACATTTTAAACATTTAAATGGCTATTTACCGTGATTATTAAGTTCTTCCACATATTCCTTAATTGTAATATTATAATTTTATAAATCTAATGAACGAATGAAATATAAATGTAAGTATTTTATTTAAAATTTAGCAATGTCATAGTATCATACAACGGATATTTGTAAAAGAATACTATATATTATTATGGTTTTTTTTTTTTTATTATTATTATTTTTAATTATATTTGTAGTAATGATACATAAATGGTTTATATTTTAAACGATGTATATTTACTTTTTAAATTATGTTTTATTTTTCATCCAATTAAACTTATTATATTTGTATCACCAATACTGGCTTTATTCTTTTCTAGATAATAATTGTAGTAACAAATGTTTTTCTACACTATTACGATACTGTTTTTGTATATTCATTTTTGGTAAATCGCTCATTGATTAGAAAAATGTTGTCTTTTATTAAAAATAGATTTAATACTTTTTCTAATAACGTCAAAAAACTGCAAGAAACTACGGGAAAAACGATAAGAGTTTTGCAATTTTTAATTGACATAGTTTAATTCGATTCTGTTTTCTAAAAGTTTATCAGTGAAAATTTAATAAAACCACCGGCAATTTCTCTCGAATGCTCTCTCTCGAATTTGAGCACCCGATTTTCAGTTTTAAATTTTAGAAATCAAGATGATCGTTACTGAAAGTCTAAATTATTTCACTGTTTTGGTAAGTAAACCGAAACGGAGGATGTTATATTTAAGTATTATCCGTGTGCAATGATAAAAAATTTCTTACGAAAAATGCTTTGAGCAGAGAATTATAATCAAATTTTTTTTCAATTGATGCCAAAGGTAATCTTGAATTCAACAGGAATCTTATACACAAATCACTATTTTTTTTGTTGCTCAGCCCTTTTCTATTAGGTTAATGTCAGATGTCGGTATTTACTCTCTGTATCCAACATAACAATTTAGACCTAATATTATTCCCTTCTATCAGCACGGTCTAGAAGATTTTAGGTTTTTTTTAAATTTCTTTAAAGATTTATATATATATATTGTAAACGTCTATACATTTTCAAATCAAATTATTGAAAAATAATGGCAAAGATTTGAAAAAGTTGGCTTGTCGAACTCCCGTTTATACATCATGAATTTATAGAAAGTGAAAACTCTTTCTACCGAAGCTCTTTTTAACGAAATACTCTATGTAACGTACAAATTACATATGGTAAAAAATATTTAGATTGCAATAATATTCATACATATGAAAACACAGTTGGTTTTGGAATTTTTATCGCTTTGCTATAATACTCATCGATCGAACCGATTGACAGAGAATACATTGGACTTGTGCTACTATCGGACAAAGAGAGAAAATATCCGATCACTCAAAAAACGATACACGTATCGTCCTATTCGTCTGAATATCGTGTATATACGAATACACAGCAGCTCTAACTGCGGACACCTGACAAAAGCTGTTTCAATAATACTCTGTGCTCTGTCATTAAATCGTTAACATCGTAAATATTTAACAGCGGACACGTATGTATACGTACGTATAATATTTTTTTATTTACGCGTACGATCATATTTTTATCGTTGAAAAAAAAAATTAACCGAAATTAAGTTCCGAAATAATGACCGCGGAATATGAATATTTACAATGTATTATAATATACATGGATATCTACCAAAAGAAAAATTTAATATATTTATAGCTAATAGGAAGCGATAAACACGGATATTTTAAAATTGTATTGTGACCGGCGACGGTAAATTTACGATCGGCGATTGTCAACTGTAGTATACGCTTCTCGAAGAAAATAAAACGATCGAATTAAATAATATATTGTGTTTATGTGGGTGTAACATATATCGCGACTAAATAAACTGGCGTATAACTGCGGTGCATTAGTTAGTAATGATCCGTTGAGCGTCCGCTTCACAAATCCTTAAAAAAAAGCCTACCGAAACTAAACATTCCCCCTGATTTTTGATTTTTCTCTTTTTATGAGTCATTTGCATTAAAAATAATTATGTAGGTAGGTATAAAGGAAATTATTTTACAAATAAAATTGTTGTTTATCATTGTCCAAAATTTTAGTAAGCATACAGTATTTACCATACATTTCTTTCAAAACTTTTCTTAAATCTATTTATTTTATCGACCCTTTCCTGTATAATTTTATTGTTGACACTGTATTGATAATCTAGTAAAAAATAATTAGGGTCAAATTTTTGAATAATTATCAAATACAAAATTTGCAGTGTTGAAATGCTACGTTTGGCTGAAGAAATGCAAACTGGCATGTATAACAATAAGAACAAAAGGCTTTTTACTCTGAAATAAATACTATATTACATTCATCAATGACACGAAATACATCTCGAGGAATTTTATTTCCTGTATTAAAGATATGAATTTAGAGGTATATAGTTAATATAGTTATTTATTCTTGTAAGATTCTTTCTTGAGTCTAAAATGCGATATCACATGGTTTTACAGTAAACTTTTATGCATTTTCCGAGTATGACCAAAATAACATAAAAAAGTATAAAAAAAGAAAGACCACGGGGAAGGGCGAATGCTCCATTTCCTCCCCCCCTGAAGAAGATTCTGGACGTGCGTAAATTATGTAATTTTATTCTGTTATCATTTTTTTTTTTCAAACAATAAAATCTTTATGCATTTTTTTCCGTTAATTTCGAAGTGGTTCAGTAAATAATAATCGAACGATCTGGAATGATCTTACATAATATAACTTTATACGTGGTGTAGTTTTTAAAACAATATGTTGTTTACAGAGTTATGCATCGAGCAACATATTTAAATTTTTCTAATTTACTTAGTTGTTTTTTCGGTTTACGTCGATATTATTTTTGTCACTGTTTTAACTTAAACTTAATGATAAAATTGTACACAATTTCTTTTTGTAAAAATTCATAACATTTTTCTTGAAATCAAAATTATTTTTCGTTTACAATGATTTATCACTTTACACCGTAGGTAGGTATACCATTTCGATTGTCCTGTTTATCCTATACGTTCCCAAATTCCCGCCAACATAAGTGATTGCTTATCCGTGTTTATTTTTGGAATTCAATTAATTTTAACAATAATGTGAATATAACGTGAAATAAAAAGAATATTGTAATAATAATATCTAATATTATAGTAAATGGTCAATGTTTGTCAATTTTCGCAAAACTTTTCAAAAACATAAATACCAGTGTTCAGATATACTCGCTGGATATTGTTGAAGCTCCCTATTAAACGAAGATATACTTTACAGTGTTTCCCAACATGATCGACGGATTCTTCTAAAGCTGTATATTTTTCAATTTTTTCATTTTTTCTGACGATTTGTCTTCGAGAGGAAAATTGATTTGAAAAAAATTAAATTTTTATTTTCATCCCCTAAATACAAAAAAAAAAAAATAACTTTATTCATTCACTTTATACAATTTTCAATATAGCCATTTTGTAAACGATATAATTCTTACAATACTTAATATTATAACAAAGAAATATTTATCGCGTGCTAACCCCCTTTAGTTACCTATATATGTTAACGATAGTTAATTTTGCTGTCCTCGTCATCCACAGGCAGGTTTACCGACGCAACCGGCTAACCCACTTTGTTTAGTTTTAACGTAGGTACCAACAAACGTAGTTGATGAAACCGGCATTTAGTTGCTAAACTACGTTATCCGAGTGGTTCTTGCACGTGCGAAATAGTTTTAACTAACAAATATAGAATGGTGTATACCTTGGCTTTGGGCTTAGCTGTCCCACATTCAAAAACAAAGGTTACAGACAACTACATACTTCTTACTAAATAACCACTTCGTTTCGAAAATTTTTTAAATTTCGTAATAGTTTTTAAATTCGATTATCGAACAAATTAATATTAATAAGATCGGAAATCAACATCGACCGTCAGGATTTCTATAATTGAAATATTTTTTTCGGATGCACTGGATTATTCTATTGATAGAGCGTTTTAAACGTCCGGTAAAAATATCATATATTAAGCTCAAAGTGATTAAAAATTTATTCCTATCGCATTATGAGTGTTTTATATTACAATTATTTCTAAGGCCGAATTAACCACATCCGTTTCAACGAGGTTTTGCAAAGCTTATATTAATAATCAGAACTTTACTGTAGAATGCTCGTATAAAACTACTTTAAGCGTTCGATGAAAATTACAGGTGTTTACGATTGTTTTTCACTGAATTAATCGTTGTATTTACGAAATCAAAAACGAAATATATAAATTAATTATGCAAAACTGTTATCGTTTTTCCAATGATTTCTCACGAGTTCTGGCATGAATAGAGGAAAAGTACAAATTATATCGAAAATATCCAATAACGTTCTTTTGATCGATAGACGGTTTACCAACAAAAAATATTTAAGAAATATTTTTCAGAAATATAGTAAACAATTTGTTACCACATTCCATATATAAAATAAAATAAACCAAATCTTATTGTTACGAAAAAAATGCGTTTAATTGGACAAAAAAATAACAAAACCTAAAATTAAAAGTAAATACATTATATTGAAGGTATAACCTGGTTATTTTAAAAACTATATAATAAGTCAATAAAAATAAAAACCATAATTATATGTTGTAGTCAATAAAAAAAACCGGAGTATAATATTTTGACTTCGACTATTTAAATATATACTCATAAATTTAGATCAGCTATCAGATATATAAAATTGTAAATTTAAAATTTTGGGGACAATACCGTGAGTACATAGTTGCAGCAGAGTATAATTCGAAATCTATGTCCATGGACTTCTTTGCGATTGAAAAAGAAGTACTGTTCATAGCTGTTCATGCAATTACTATTTATAACCTTATTGAATTGTTTGTATCCGTCATTGATGTCGAGATGTTTTGTCTCGGACCACTGCGAAAAGTCCTATTCTTCATTACAGGGAATTAATTCGTCGACCATTATATTACCGTTGTTTTCAATATTCTTTTATATAGAAATGAGAGAGTCTATGCGATAAGTTGGTAGGAGTCCATTTTGTGCGTCTGTATTGATGAATAAAGGTAAATCAAGATATTTGTAAAAAAATGCTGTCCCGTCTAAATACAACCGAACACTACCTCGCATGTTTTGCCACAAAAAAACTTCAACAACTAGCCTTCCTTGAATAATTTTAGATTATATAGATTATATAGATTATATAAATAAATAAATTGATTTTAGAGATTTTAAAATTTTTCACATTGATACATTTCATATAATATATTGGTATTGTGTAAAAAGAATGATATGAATTTCGCTAAACATAATTCTTATTGAATTTAAGAAGACGCCAATATAGGTAAAATTGAAACATCTGTGGAGCAATGTACAAACGTTCCTATAAAGTCCTTGTGTACAGTACCATTTCTTTTTTTCACACGTAGGCCATTTGCTGCAATATTAAAATTAACTCGATTTCAAATGTGATATATTCTTTAGGTACATCCAAGAAGACTTCGTAATCATTTCGAAGAATAATTTCTGCTGTCTTATTATGATTATAAAGCTTTTGAAGTTCGTTCTCATTTATGGCAAACTGACCTCTATAATTAGAAAATCTAAACAATTTTGAAACTTTTTTTTGAATGTCTGGAACAATAACATGCAACACAACCGTGTAGAACAACAGTTTTAAGGCATTAATGTTCATTGTACAGATGTGTAGTAGGACTAGATAATAGGTGTATCTGTTCGGAATAGAATATTTTGTAACTCGTTTATACGTGTACAAGTTTCAATTAGTATGATACTATTAGCATCGAATATTACTTTTGTTGAACACTTGGTTAAATACATTATATTGACAAACGCATTATACTGTACTATAGCATAAAGAATATCGGGGACGTAAAAAAATGATTTATTTATCGCTCGACAGAGACTGATTTTATGCTCATAAATCATTATAAGTTAGTTATAAGTACTAGCATTATAATGTTAGTATTATACTAACTGCCATGGTTTTATTTATGTACGTATTGCGATAGTTTCTCTTCAGTATAGGTACCTAAAAATTTTAACATTTTGAAGCATTAACGCTCTTAAATCAATATTATATAGATAGTAATGCGTTCTCATAAATTCTGTTCGATTATCTTAGTATCATAAAAACAGAAACGGATACAGGAATATACTAGTTATAAAAGTTTCTATTCAGAGTAGGTACACATTTTATCACATCCCACAACATAAGTGTACAATGAATTTTAATACTTTAAAATTGTTGTTTTATACGTTAGTAGTGCATGTTATTAATCCAGATATTCCAAATAAGGTTACAGCATTTTTCGAATGTCGTTCGAATAGAAGTAAGTTAAATAAAATAGTAAACGATTTTAAAATGAACTATGATCTCAAAAAAGGCGCAGAATATATTACTCAGGATCAAGGAAATGAATTTGGAAACGTTTCTACAGAATTTATCAATTTTGAAATCGATTTACTACTAATATTACAGCAGATGGCCCACTTGCTTAAAAGAAGAAACGAAACTGGATTCATTCACAAAGAATATTTTTTAACGGTTTGTTCATTGTTCCCGAGATGTTTGGACTATATCAATATTAATGTGTTTCAGAATTTAATAACAGTTATGTTGAACAAAATTCATATAGTTCTGTGTCACACATTACCAACGTATTTTATAAAAAATATTAATGCGTCACGGGATGATGCAGAAAAAGAACTTATTTATAAGGAAACTGACAGAAATTTGACATATATAATATCAATGTTACAAAATCAAACAAAAAAAAATGACACTTTACTTGAGCGCCCAAACTATGAAAAAGATAGTAAGAATTTTCTTTTTAAAGTATACAATATTCTTGGCAAAATCGATTTAATATCATGTATAAGTAAAAACCTCAATAAACTTAATAATTATTATAAAGTAAATAATATATATTACGGAAAGAAATTAAAAATTCCTGATACCAGAGGCAATAAAAATGAACACTTACTTGAAAGAAATACCACTTTAGAGAAAGTCAATATTAATTATTCAGATAAACTTAAGAAGAACTGCGGTTTATCAAAATATGAAATTCGAACATATGATTTGTCTAAAATCGATGCTATGGATGAATTACTTGTTTATACATTAAATAAACTCCAACAATTTTTTACAAATACTATATTAAGCAATAAAGGGAAACATTCAGAAACAACTGTAGAAAACCTAAGTGATGCAATACATATTACAAAAACGCTACTCGATTTATGTAAGAATATCTCTTACATTCTTGTATTTTTTAAAGAAAATAGGATAAAGGATGATTCGACATTGTTCAACTTGTATTTTACGTTCTGCTTCGACTTTATGGAATACACAGATATCCGTTGCAACAGTGCGTTTCATAACATACCAGCTGCTAATAATTTTAAAACCGAGTGGAAAAATTGTAAGTGGGAGTCGTTGAAAAATCTTTGGACGTATAATATATTTATAACAACTACTCAGGTTCCAATAATAAAAAACGACAAGGACTTGAAAAATAAAGATTGTATACACTATTACATAAACTACCTAGTGACCCTCTATGATGTCATCAAAATGTTCGACAAACAAATAGGCGTATGGACCACGTTTCAGTGGTTGAGCGGTAAATATTTTCTTACCGAAAATTTCGAAAACGTAGATATGAATGAGTTAAAATTGAAAAATATAAATATTAAAAACGTAAATATGAGTTTATCAGTGGCGTATTATGCGCTATTACCGTGGAGTATAAACACATTCCCTGTAGGCCTACTTCATAATATGATATTACAGCATCTAAACAGAACAATGAATACGTATGTTTACAGATACGCTCTAATTATAGATTTGTACTTAAAGCGCACAAGTAGCAGTGTCAATTCTCACGTTTTACAAAGCATACGAGATAGTGTTCGGTGGTATACGGGCGGGACAGAAATATTTTACAAATATCTTAATTTACCTTTGTACACTGATAAAGACCCACAGAATGAGTCTTTACCACCTGTTGACCATAATATGATATTACAGCATCTAAACAGAACGATGAATACGTACGTTTACCGATACGCGCTGATTATAGATTTGTACTTAAAGCGCACAAGTAGCAGTGTCAATTTTCATGTTTTACAAAACATACGAGATAGTGTTCGGTGGTATACGGACGGGACAGCATTGTTTTACAAATATCTTGATTTACCTTTGTTCACTGATAAAGACCCACAGAATGAATCCTCACCATCTTTTGAAATAAAAAGTATCATTTTAAGAATAAAATATATGGACGATATCGGTAAAATAAGTCTTAACGATATCATTCCTAAAGATGTACAAGACGATTTTTTGAAATGGTCCGACACCGAACTTCCCGATAACGATGACGGATATCAACAATTCAACACTGTTATAAATAAGAATTGCATGGACGCTATGGACTACATGAGTACATTCCTTTCGATCGCAGTAAAGTCTTTGGACATAAAATCCGAATTCTATCCTCCTCCAATTACGTACACCGAATACTGTCCGGAAAATATATTTAATGTTAAATCAGTCGAAAATCCTATAAGGGTATTTAAATTAAGTACTTATTTTATTTTTTAAGAATTTAAACTTAATTTTAGCTACTGGCATAAATGTGTATTCACTACGAATTTTAATATACATTTTTAACATTTAAAATGTCTATTTACTGTGATTATTAAGTGCATCTATATCTTCCTTTAATGTAATATTATAATTTTTAAATCTAATGAACGACGAAAATATAAATGTATTTATTTTATTTTAAATTTAGTAATGTCATAGTATCATACAACGGATATTTGTAAAGGACTACAAATTATTATTATGTTTTTTTTTTTTTTTATAAATTGATTATATGGTAATGAGACATAAACTGTTTATACTTTTAATGATATATATTTATTTTTTATGTTAGGTTTTATTATTCGTCCATTATATTCGTAACACCAATTTTGGTCAATTTTTTTTTAGATAATAATTGTAGTAACAAATGTTTTTTTGTACTATTAGGATCATTGTTTTTCTATATTTATTTTTCGTAAATCGCTCATTGATTAGAAAAACTTTGTCTTTTATTCTTAATAGATTTAATACTTTTTCTAATAACGTTAAAAAACTGCAAGAAACTACGGGAAAAACGATAAAAGTTTTATAATCATTAATTTACATAGTTTATCTTCGATTTTGTTTTCTAAACAGTAATCAGTGAAAATTGTGTATGACCGAGTATGACCAAAATTACATAAAAAAGTTTAAAATAAAAAAAAGATCACGATGAAGGGCGAATGCTTTATTTCCTCCCCCCATGAAGAAACTTCTGGACGTGCGTAAATTATGTAATTTTATTCTGTTATCATTTTTTTTTTCAAACAATAATATCTTTATGCATTTTTTTCCGTTAATTTCGAAGTTGTTCAGTGAATAATAATTGAACGATCTGGAATGATCTTACATAATATAACTTTATACGTGGTGTAGTTTTTAAAACAATATGTTGTTTACAGAGTTATGCATCGAGCAACATATTTAAATTTTTCTAGTTTACTTCGTTTTTTTTTCGGTTTATGTCGATATTATTTTTGTCACTGTTTTAACTTAAACTTAATGATAAAATTGTGCACAATTTCATTTTGTAAAAATTCATAACATTTTTCTTGAAATCAAAATTATTTTTCGTTTACAATGATTTATCACTTTACACCGTAGGTAGGTATACCATTTCGATTGTCCTGTTTATCCTATACCTTCCCAAATTCCCGCCTACATAAGTGATTGCTTATCCGTGTTTATTTTTGGAATTCAATTAATTTTAACAATAATGTGAATATAATGTGAAATAAAAAGTATATTGTAATAATAATATCTAATATTATAGTAAATGGTCAATGTTTGTCAATTTTCGCAAAACTTTTCAAAAACATAAATATCAGTGTTCAAATATACTCGCTGAATATTATTGAAGCTCCCTATTAAATGAAGCTATACTATACAGTGTTTCCCACCATGATCGATGGATTCTTCTAAAGCTGTATATTTTTCAATTTTTTCATTTTTTCTGACGATTTGTCTTCGAGAGGAAAATTGATTTGAAAAAAATTAAATTTTTATTTTCATCCCCTAAATACAAAAAAAAAAAAATAACTTTATTCATCCACTTTATAAAATTCTCAATATATCCATTTTATAAACGATATAATTCTTACAATTTTAATGTGTGACACATTCATATCCGACGAATAGTTTCTTAGAAATAGCCGTTTTAATCTCTCAACTGATAAAAAAAAAAAAAAAAAAAAA